TTAGCTGAGGTTTAACTTAAACATAGAAATTCTAACATCACAATGTTTATACAAAGTAGTTGTGCTATTTTTTAAAATTATAATATTTATCAAAGTAATCCTTATACGGTCTTAGTGGGCATAAAGATAGAAAATGACAACTATCAAAATGAGTTAAAAAAACAACTCTACACACAATTACTTCAATTAAATACAATTTTCAAAAAAGATTGTTATTAGATATAACAAAAATATTCCGAAATGATAATAAAATTGTTAAAATACTTTAATTTTTATTATAACTCTTTTCCGTTCTATTTCTAAAGAGTTTCTCAACAAAATAAAAACCTAACATTCAACAAACTAGCTGGTAGAAAAAAAAAGCAGTAAACTCACGTCAGTGTAGACAGACGATAGTCTCGACTCGAAGTTGTCACCACGATCACGAGGCACTAACCCCCCTGTTATATACAGACGGCCACATAGCTGTGGCCACTTGATCGACGCCAACAGCTTTCGACGCTTGACTTCAAGCACGCCGTTTAGAATAACAATTACATTTTGTTGTTGCGCGCCAGTTATTGCCTTTGTTTTAGACAATGGGTAAACACATTGGTAAAAGGCGAATGCTGCAATTTTATATGTTTGTTTGAGGGAAGATAACTGTATGCTTACGCTCTGGGTAATGGGAGATAATTTTTGTGTATGGAATAACAGCACTTTCTATAGTTCTTCACGACAGACAAGACTGTCTTGTATATATCTCTGTCAGGTACTTCGTATCCAAAAACTGTATTTGTCTTATATACAATGAGTGACTCATTTAAATTAAGTCTTGTTACAGATGCATTCAATTATGGACGGCGTGGTTGAGTGCAAGACTGCTAGCCCGAATGATACGAGTTCGACTTGAAGATTCAAGTACTTATGACCTTAAGTGTATCCAGTTCTAAAACTTCCCGGACCAGTTATGGGGTAGCCGGTAGCTGGGCATTGAACTGACCACATTATCCATTTGATGCCTTGTTTACTAATTAAGACCAACTGTTGCATCAACCATCAGGCTTACAAAAACATTTATTTTACATAGAAACTGTAAAATATTAAAAACATATTTAATTATGAATAGGTTTACTTTTGGTACTGCTAAATGGCATGCTTTATTTTATTTTAAAAAACCCAGTCGGGTGCTAGAAACTGTAGTTTCCTTCAGTAATGTTGCTCATAAGTTCAAAGCTTGACTCAGACATTAAGAAATATACTTGTGTGTTCGTATGATTGTGTGATTGTAACTCAACACTTGTGTGTTCGTATGATTGTGTGATTGTAACTCAACACTTATGTGTTCGTATAATTGTGTGATTGTAACTTATCACTTGTGTGTTCGTATGATTGTGTGATTGAAACTCATCAATTTACAGTGCAACAGTGAAACCATTCTATTTTCGGACTATTTGTGTGCGTGTCTGTGTGTTAGTTTGTATGTAGTTCATAACTTCATAGTTTTTGGGAAACAGTCCTGTTTACTATCAGTTCGTATCTTAACATTTCACACAATGTGTTCTTGAGCTTCAAGTTGCTGAGAAAAGTTTCTTTAAAAACTTCGGCATAGAAAGTATTGGATATATAAAGCGCGTCATTGTATATCGTTATAATACTGACTTATGTTAGACGCGTGTCAGTTACAATTTGAATTCTGTTTTTTTAATAATTACTGAGAGAGGAGGAGACATATACTGTTGGGGGGGGGGGGAAGGTTAAAGCCCCTCCCACTTCAAAGACACCAAACATGACAGCTGTCTCTTGAAGTCGAAGACGATTGGCTTGTATTGCTTCTATGTTGATATGTAAAGCACTCTCCCCATAGAAAGATAATTATCATCTGAACGTTACTGTAACCTCTTGTTTCAGATTTAACTTGGATATCTTCCCTATTAATTAATTCAGAGAAAAATTATATAACTCTTGGAAAGTAGACATTTTCGAAAATGTTGAGATAATGTATCTGAATTGAATATCTGCAACTCAGCAATAAACGGAGAGGTGGATGGAAAAGTGGAGAATTATTTCCCTTGCTTAAAGAATGGAATGTAATGCCAGTTTGTCCTTGACGCTATTACCCCCACTAAGCTCTCTAAGAATTGGAACCGGCAAGTGATCGGGCCCCAGCAGGGATAGCCTTGTGTTGTAAATATTATGGACCAAACGGACCTTGTTGGGAAAATAAAAACTTAAACCACGTCTCAACACAATGCCCTTGACCTTAGTTTTAATTTCTGTAGAACTCATCCTTAAAAGAATAGCCCTATTCCACAGGATGTGAATTTCATGTGATGCCTGGTAAATGAATTAATAATTCAGTTGGTAGAGCTGGATATAAGAATATTAACAGCTGATAGTCTATGTAAATAAGAGAATATAAGAGAAAGACTTACCCTACGGATATTAATCAGTTATTTTATAATTGGCTGATTAATGCGCGACAACGTATAATACAAACTGTAATATTTCACAGAGAACGGATTTATGAAGGTGTTGGCCAAGTACCACCCCCCCCCACACACACACTCACACACACACACTCACCGTTGAGACGCCAATGCTATTAATTTGACCATTTTGCACCCATGAAAATGTGCTATGATAAAGTTTCTTTAAGTTTTTTGCTAATATGCACATTATTTGATTAAAAACGTGTACATAACGCCCATAAAACTTCATGTTTTATGTGTCTGTTTACAGTATTTACCTAGTAGGCTTATATGTCGAAACTTGTAACATAAGCACGGTATAAAAATTGTTTTAGGATATTTTAATGTGCTGTCAACTGAAGTGCTTGACCTGAGTTTTTCCTGTCGGTGTCTAGAATCTAGGCAATTACATGCATGCATGTGAACAGCCCCAACCCCAACCCATCACCTCCTCACCCCCCCCCCCCCCAACCGCTAGCTTACACAACATGCTTGGAATATATTAGTTATTCGACTCAAACATAAAAATATTTTTCCTATAAATGTATGTAATTATTTCTATTGTTGGTCAATAGGGAATGTACATGATGTAACATGGGTAGTTTATGGTTGTGTAACATGGGTTGTAGGGGTAGTTTATAGTTGTGTTACATAGGGTGTAGGGGTGGATTATATTTTTTAAACAAAATATACAGCTCGATTTTGCTCCTTGATTTAGAACAAAAATTGTATTTGATTCAGCCATCAGTACAATAACTGGTATCAAAGATTCAAGTATCAGCACAATGTCTTATCAAGGCAGCCTATTAGGGTAGGCTTACACCCACTGCTACTGTATCCACTCTGGTAGTGGTGGTTGCTGTCTTATGTTTAGTGGACTTATTTTCTTTTTCCTGAAGATTCTGGCATTTTCATATAGGTGGAACATATTGCTTCATAAAATATACACCCTCATAAAGTAGTCTATATTGTATTTAGGGAGCTACACTAGAAGACAATGTTTTAGTTCTTGAAATTTATAAGAACATGTTTAACGAAGAATATGTTTCCGAATCACTCAAAAACAATTTGAAGACAAAAAAATATAAACAGAAAATAATTTTGTTTTCGGTTAATTTGTAATTAAAGAGTGAAATTAAAGTTACTTCTACGACATAATTAATGCAACCAAAACTGTTTCCTGTGCTATTTATTGGTCCCTAAATGCTACCTACATAGTTTGTATCATTTTCACTACACTGTTCAACGTTTGAGTACTAAGAATTTGTGTTGTAAAAGTGCTCTATAGTGGTATTTGGTGGCAGGGTATTTGATATACATATTATATAACTGATGGGTGGGATATTCAATATGAACGACAGGTTGGGATAATTTGTAAAAATGTTATATAATGTGTTTAGCAGCAGAGGTGGCAGGGGTTAAAGATATCTAAAGTTTATGTTCCGTACTACATTCACGGCTCAAGTTACGGCTGTTAAAGATATCTAAAGTTTATGTTCCGTACTACATACACGCCCTTAAGCTACGGCTGTTAAAGATCGATAACCGTGTGAATGTATACATTACATTTTGTCAATAAAACAACAGTTGTGTACCTTTGAACACAATTTATTTTGTAACGGATCAGATTTAAAGATATTTAAACATAGTATTAACAAACAGATCCTTATATATTTTAAACTGTTGTGGCTGGGATGGATTTTAAAACTAGACCTCACTTAAAGATACATGTAGTTAGACAATGATATAAAATGTAAATTGATAAATGTTCTTTTGGTGATGGCGCTGACTTGAAAAATATAATTCGCTTCAGATGATGTTTTGATCTCTATTTCCGCTCTTGCCCAGTACAAATAGGGCAAAATTAGACTTTATAGTTTACTATAACCTCGGTGCATAGTGTGGTCAGCACTATGCCCAGTCACATTTATTTTCTTCTGTAAGTCAGCTAAGTATCATGATTGGGCCCTACAGACTCGAGCCCATTTAAGTGAAAATACAGGAGAGTACTTTGTAATAAGTTCCAAGAAATAGAATCGTATGTATGACAACACTATGTACACGATCGAAATGACAATCTAGACAGTTGAGTCAAGTTGAGTGCACTCCAGCCAAGGTCTCTAAATTTATTTTTTAAATTGTTAACATCAACGACCTTCAGAGTTACTTTCCAGAGCACAAGCACCTGGGGTCGGCTGATTGGTCGTGCTGCACTGGAATACTACGAGTGGCACCTGACACCCCTCTGTTATGTAAATGGTTGCTCCCACGATGACCGTGACACCTCGACGATCTATGTGGGATGTACTACCTCACCTCTGAAGAGGGTGCTCAAGGTACTCTCAAACATTCCACTCGGAGTCTGGTCAGAAGTTGGACAAACTCGTGCCCGACAACTAAGATCCAAGAAATCTAGTGACTACATTGGTTATATTTCATAACCATAATCAAACGGAAATTATCTATTTGGTATCTAAGAATAGCTGCTACCACTACGTTGTCAGTTTGTATGTAATAATGTCACGGTTAGTTCCCTTCTGTGATTCGTTGAATGTAGAAATTATATCCGTGGATATTCTTTATTTTACAAAATTAAGTTTTATTAAAATTATCACCAAATAATTTGTGTTTAAATTTTATAAAAACTGAAACAAAGTACATTTCCATAAAAAAAAACTAAACAAAAATATAAACAAGGAGAAACAAAACTTTCAAATATCAAAGAATTTATTGATCATATCTTATCAGTTATTTTTTTTCTTCTTTTCTCTGTCGAGAAGCTGGAAATAAAAAAAAAATTAGCCTTCATTTATTAGAAAACACACTATCAAACACGCATTTATTTATATATACAGGGGCGTAGCGAGGGGGGGGGGCGGGGGGTGCGGACCGCACCGGGTGACACCATTTAGGGGGGGGGGGGTGACACCAAGCAAAAAATAGCAAAATATATAGAGGAAAACTTGAGGAGAGTGGAAATCGAAAGTTTGAGGGGGGGGGGGGTGCAAATCGAAAACTTGAGGGGGGTGCAAATCGAAAGTTTGAGGGAGGGGTGCAAATCGAAAACTTGAAAGTTTGTTCCCGGGAAGGGTCGCTACGCCTCTTGGGGGTGACACCATTAAGTGCCGCACCGGTTGACACCCGACCTCGCTACGCCACTGTATATATATATATATATATATATATATATATATATATATATATATATATATATATTTATATATATATATATATGAAAACTAAAGAAATTCATAAGATTAACAACGTACACTGTAAGGGACGTAGAACAAGATTACTTACACTGAAGCGTCCGGCTTTATGGGACGTTGTACTTCATGGAATAACCCTCGGTCTCCCCGCTGCTGTCTGAAGACCACATCTCGGCCTTGAACTTGCCGTTGTTCTTCAAGGAACCGCTGGAGCCGAAGTTTGAGTACATTGTGGCGCTGCTGTCGATATTCATGCCGTTCTGGCCGGCAATCTTCTTCTTGCTCTCCATGTAAAAGCCGTCGTCAGCCTCTCCTGCGCTGCTTAGGTCGCCGTTGGCGTACCCAGAGGATGAGAACCGGGACTTTGCGTTGCCGCTGAACCTCCCTTCCACCCCCGCATCAACTTCGCCTTTAACCTTAGCCTCCGCGCCCATCTGGACCCCAGCCCCCAGCCCAGCGCCCAGTTTCAAGTTGCCTTTAAGACTAGCGCCTAATCCGGCTCCTAAGCTTAAAGCACCGTTCAAGCCTGCGCCAATACCGGCTCCTGCGCTCAATGCACCTTGTAGGCCCGCGCTCAACCCGGCTCCTGCGCTCAATGCACCTTGTAGGCCCGCGCCCACCCCGGCTGCAACTCCTAACCCAGCGTTAAGTCCAGCGCTAAGCCCAGCTGAAGCCCCAGCCCCAGCACTTAAAGCACCTTCAACACCAGCGCTAACCCCAGCTCCGGCACTTAATGCACCAGAAACCCCAGCTTCGGCACTTAATGCACCAGAAACCCCAGCTCCGGCACTTAATGCACCTGAAACCCCAGCTCCGGCACTTAATGCACCAGAAACGCCTCCAGCAACACCTACAGCACCTCCCGCTTGCACCCCACCCCCAGCTTCCATGTCATAATCTCCACTTGCTCCGAAACTTTGCGAACTTTTAAACCCGCCTTTAAATCCGCCGCTGTAGCTGGCGTCCCCCTCTGCACCCCCCTCGAATGATACTCCACCATTTGAACTAGATTCGCTATTAGCACTAGACTTGCTACTAGAACTTGATTTGAAATTGCTTTTGATGTGAGATGTAAATTTACCGTTCGCATTGAATTCGCCATTTGCATTGAATTGGCCTTTTGCATTGGCCCTACCGCCATATTCCCCTTGTGATTCGCCATCAAATTCACCATCAGCAACAATACCGCCATTTGCACTGGCCTTACTACTAGCGCTGGATTTGAAACTGCTTTTGCTGTGAGATTTAAATTTACTGTTCCCATTGAATTGGCCATTTGCGTTGTATTGGCCATTTGCATTGGCCCCACCGCCAAACTCCCCTTGCGATTCGCCATCGAATTCACCATCAGCATCAAAACCACCATTTGCGCTGGCCTTACTATTAGAACTTGACTTGAAACTGCTTTTGCTGTGAGATTTAAGTTTACTGTTCCCATTGAATTGGCCATTTGCGTTGAATTGGCCATTTGCATTGGCCCCACCGCCAAACTCCCCTTGCGATTCGCCATCGAATTTGCCATCAGCATCAAAACCGCCATTTGCGCTGGCCTTACTACTAGCGCTGGATTTGAAACTGCTTTTGCTGTGAGATTTAAATTTACTGTTCGCATTGAATTCGCCATTTGCATTGAATTGGCCATTTGCATTAGCCCCACCGCCATACTCCCCTTGCGATTTGCTATCAAATTCACCATCAGCATCAAAACCGCCATTTGCGCTGGCCTTACTACTAGAACTTGACTTGAAACTGCTTTTGCTGTGAGATTTAAATTTACTGTTCCCATTGAATTCGCCATTTGCATTGAATTGGCCATTTGCATTGGCCCCACCGCCATATTCCCCTTGTGATTCGCCATCAAATTCGCCATCAGCAACAATACCACCATTTGCACTGGCCTTACTACTAGCGCTGGATTTGAAACTGCTTTTGCTGTGAGATTTAAATTTACTGTTCCCATTGAATTGGCCATTTGCGTTGAATTGGCCATTTGCGTTGAATTGGCCATTTGCATTGGCCCCACCGCCAAACTCCCCTTGCGATCCGCCATCGAATTCGCCATCAGCATCAAAACCGCCATTTGCGTTGGCCTTACTACTAGCGCTAGATTTAAAACTGCTTTTGCTGTGAGATTTAAATTTACCGTTCGCATTGAATTCGCTATTTGACGCAACCCCACCTCCATATTCTTCTTCACAATCATCTTCGATTTCGTCTTCACAATCAATTTCACCATTTGCATTCGTGTCGCCACTTGTTTTAAAACTGCCTTTTCCATAAGCTTGAAATTCGCTGTCACTGTGAAATTTAGCCCCACCTGCCGCTTTGATTTTGCCTTGACCACTGGTCTTGTACCCAGCCCCAGCAGTCCCGTAGCCCTTTAGACCTGCGCCCATCGACGCCTCAGCATCGAAGACTCCGTTGGCCTCTAGCGAGGAAGCTCCGTTCACTTGACCACTGACACTTCCCTCTACACCAGCGTTCGCTTGTAGTTTTCCCTTAAGCTTAGCGTTAGCACCTGCTTGTAATTTAGCACCGAGGCCTAACCCGGCTCTAAACCTGCCCTCTAAATTTGCGTCAAGATCGGCATCAGCTTCAGCATTAGCACTAGCACTAGCACTAGCATCTGCTCTAAAACCGCCGTTTACATTAGCACTAGCACCTGCTCCAAATTTTGCATTTCCCTTAGCATTAGCTGCCACTCCAGCACTCATGGAACCTTCTAGCCTGGCGCCAGCACCCGCCCTAAGCCTCGCATCGAGTTCAGCGGCTACATTAGCACCGGCTCCCACCCTAGCACCGGCCTCAGCTCCAGCACTTAGAGCAGCGTTGACATTAGCACCTAACCCAGCTTGAGCGCCCACTGCTCCATTGACGTTAGCACCTAGCTCGGCTGCTACATTTGCACCGACTTGTAAACTAGCTCCAACTTCAGCTCCGGCGCTAACTGCACCGTTTAAGCTTGCACCAAGACTAGCACCAGCGCTCAAGGCTGCATTTAGACCAGCACTTAGTCCAGCTCCAGCACTTAAACCTGCACCGACCTCTGCCCCAGCACCTACCGAACCTTGCACACTGGCTGCTGCACCTGCTGCAGCGCTGACACCTGCTCCGACTTCTGCACCAGCGCTAACCGCGCCACCAACGGCTGCTCCCACATTAGCACCAGCACTCAAAGCACCATTTAGACTAGCACCCAATTCTGCTCCAGCGCTCACGGCTCCCGACACGCCAGCTCCAACGGCTGCACCGGCACTGAGAGCACTATTGAGACTAGCACCCAGCCCAGCACTAGCACCCAGAACTCCACTGAGGCTGGCACCAAGGTCAAGGCCTGCCCCGAGACTCAGCAGACCTTTCTGGCTTGACCCTTTGTTCTTGCCAGAGCCTACATACAATAGAAAATATAGTGAATCGTTTAGCGCAGAGGTTCAGACGTTTAGTTTATCTGTCATAAAACATATTGAATCGTTTAGCGCAGAGGTTTAGGCGTTTAGTTTATCTGTCATAAAACATATTGAATCGTTTAGCACAGAGATTCAGCCGTTTAGTTTATCTGTCATAAAACATATTGAATCGTTTAGCGCAGAGGTTTAGGCGTTTAGTTTATCTGTCATAAAACATATTGAATTGTTTAGCGCAGAGGTTTAGGCGTTTAGTTTATCTGTCATAAAACATATTGAATCGTTTAGCGCAGAGGTTTAGGCGTTTAGTTTATCTGTCATAAAACATATTGAATTGTTTAGCACAGAGATTCAGGCGTTTTGTTTATCCGTCATAAAACATATTGAATTGTTTAGCACAGAGATTCAGGCGTTTAGTTTATCTGTCATAAAACATATTGAATTGTTTAGCACAGAGATTCAGGCGTTTAGTTTATCTGTCATAAAACATAGTGAATTGTTTAACACAGAGGATCAGAAGTTTAGTTTATCTGTCATAAAACATATTGAATCGTTTAGCGCAGAGGTTTAGGCGTTTAGTTTATCTGTCATAAAACATATTGAATCGTTTAGCGCAGAGGTTTAGGCGTTTAGTTTATCTGTCATAAAACATATTGAATCGTTTAGCACAGAGATTCAGCCGTTTAGTTTATCTGTCATAAAACATATTGAATCGTTTAGCGCAGAGGTTTAGGCGTTTAGTTTATCTGTCATAAAACATATTGAATTGTTTAGCGCAGAGGTTTAGGCGTTTAGTTTATCTGTCATAAAACATATTGAATCGTTTAGCGCAGAGGTTTAGGCGTTTAGTTTATCTGTCATAAAACATATTGAATTGTTTAGCACAGAGATTCAGGCGTTTTGTTTATCCGTCATAAAACATATTGAATTGTTTAGCACAGAGATTCAGGCGTTTAGTTTATCTGTCATAAAACATATTGAATTGTTTAGCACAGAGATTCAGGCGTTTAGTTTATCTGTCATAAAACATAGTGAATTGTTTAACACAGAGGATCAGAAGTTTAGTTTATCTGTCATAAAACATATTGAATCGTTTAGCGCAGAGGTTTAGGCGTTTAGTTTATCTGTCATAAAACATATTGAATCGTTTAGCACAGAGATTCAGCCGTTTAGTTTATCTGTCATAAAACATATTGAATCGTTTAGCGCAGAGGTTTAGGCGTTTAGTTTATCTGTCATAAAACATAGTGAATTGTTTAACACAGAGGATCAGAAGTTTAGTTTATCTCTCATAAAACTTCAAACATTTTGCACAGAAGTTCAAACGTTTAGTTTATCTTTAAAAAAAAACAACGTAGAACAGAAGTTCAAAAATGTAGTTTTTCTGAGATCAAACATATTTTGAAACATTTTGCACAGAAGTTAAAACGTTTAGTTTATTTATAATAAAATATATTTAAAAACTTATCTTATTTTATCTACCATTAAAACATTAGATATTTAATTACCTAATAAATATACTTCGTGTACATACATAGCACGTGTTTTATTTAATTTTTTTTTTGTTGCAGTGTCTGCTTATTAGCTTGTGATTGATAAAATTATGTAAATAACGATATTTTCAGTCTAATTCAATTTTAAAATTTTCCTAATTTTATTTTCATGTATTCTTTGTCTCTAAATATACAGACTAATAAATTTAAATGAAATACATTTTATTCTTTCAGTCTTACCAAACTACACATTTTCTGACTTAACAATTATTTTCTGTAAAATTGTATTGTATGTTTAATGGAACTATATCAGCCAGAAATCTAACTGTTTCCTCTTCAGGACAACTACATGTAATTTACAACACATTTTTCATTGAATCCGACAATGATTTGATTTTAAATATGTCTACCGTAATGTACATTTTATTGGTTTCAGAGGCGTAGCGACCCTTCCCGGTGCCCGGGGACAAACTTTCGATTTGCACCCCCCTCGAACTTTTCATTTGCACCCCCCCCCCCCCTCAATCTTTCAATTTGGCGCCCCCCCCCCCCCTAAGGTCGGCGCCCGGGGACATATGTCCCCCCGCCCCCCTCTTCCCTCGCTACGCCTCTGATTGGTTTGAAAGTCACATTGACACCATCTCAAAGACAACTGACTCACCTAGCAGACCATGGGCATGATGGACACAGAGAGAAACCATCAGGATAAGATTCAGGTAGTTCATGGTGAGTGTGTGATACAGCCAGCCAATGAGGACGACTGTGAGAAAAATCAAATGGTCAAAACAACTCAGCTCAATTCTGGCATTAATTAATAAATTAGGGAAACTAAAATTCAGCTATGAAAAAAAGTTTGATTATAATACGACACTTTCATTTTAATATAGACTTTTAAAAGTGGGTTAGTAAACATTAAAACAAAGTAATAAGCACAAATTACCTACCCTCCGAAATTAAATTTAAAAAAAAACGTTGGAATCAAAATGATTCTAACTTAGTTTCTTAAGCATTTTAAAAAATGTATTTGTTACTTTATTTTTGTTAAATTACATAATCCCTCAAAATAATCTAAAGGATATACACATACAAGAGGTGGTTTAATGTATCAAAAGTATATCAATCGGACAAAAATATACCATTCTTAAACACATGTCTGACAAAAGTAGAAATACCTTGCAACTTTGGTGTTGTATGTTGGAGAGACAGACGTCTGTTCAACCACAAAGTGTCCCCACACTTTACAACTTACAACTTCTACTTTTTATACCCCACGAGTTGTCTGCCCGCATCTCTCGACACAACTTGAAGAACCAGCCAATAAGGTGATGGTTATCTTCAACCGTCGTCAGCTTTTGGTATTGGTCTAATTTCCTAACAGCGTTTATTTGGTGGTCTATCTGTCCTACACATTTTGTAATTGGTCTAGCTGTCTTACACCTTTTGTTATTGGTCTAGCTGTCATACAAGTTTTGTAATTGGTCTAGCTGTCAAACAACTTTTGTAATTGGTCTAGCTGTCTTACAGCTTTTGTTACTGGTCTAGTTGTCATACAACTTTTGTAATTGGTCTAGCTGTCATACAACTTTTGTAATTGGTCTAGCTGTCTTACAACTTTTTGTTCAACTGCCGGCGCATATCTTATTGTAGTGTACCTTTTCTCAGATGCACAATGGTACATGCTGTTTGGTTAATATATATATATATTATAATATATATATGTATATATATATATATATATATATATATATATATATATATATATATATATATATATATATATATATATATAATTGAAGAGAGAGGAGGGGATATAATGCCTTTTTGTGGATTATGATGTATTTTTGTAAAACCAACAAATTATTTGGAATCGACAATTTATTATGCTATTTATTTTGTTTACAAATACATATGAAAAACATGTGGTCAGTTTAAAAATAATATTTTAGAAAATAAAACGTATTGGATTCATTTTTTTTTTCAATTAAACTGAAAACTAAAGTTAATAAAGATATTTTAATAACTAAAGACAGAAAAAGAAATAAAGATCAATATTCATTAATGCAGGATATGTTTTTTGAAAAAAAAAAGTGATTGTACATTGATACATAGAAGAGCCCTTGATCAACCTTAGCAGTGTAGGGGCTGCAACCCGACCAGGAGTGGAGGCCCCTTCATCTATCTCTGATATCTACTGTCACGTGATACGATAGTGACCACTTATCTGTCATTGCTCAATTTGTTTTCCACGTCATTTTAAAGATAGTAATTTGATAACCATCATTGGGAAACTAAATACAAGTTGGTTTTCTATGCGTATGGTGGAATGTTTAGATGACAAAAGCAGTTTCTTCTTTTTTGTTTACATATTTTCGATGGACATACGTAAGAGAACTGCTGTAAATTAATTGTTTGGTTAATAAACATAAAGCATAACATCGTATGAAGTTTTAATAGAAATTCAGTTTATTTCTTCACTAATTAGCCGTAGTATTCAGCTGGATCCTTTGGATAGCTAAGTTCTACTGCATGGGTTGTCAATGGTTACCGGAATATCTTTGATCAACGTCAAAAAGTCTTCTTGTATGCAGAATCTGAAATTGATGCAAAAAGTTTTTATTAAGTGAACCAATGTCCTAATATTACTCTTGGATAAATAGCTTATATTTAATTATAAAATGAAGGTTTTGATTGATTAGTAAACGTCCATGTTAAAATGTGGCCAGATGCAATCAGCTAATAATATATTATGTGAACTGGTTTTCGATAAAACGTTTGCTCTAAAAATAATGGTTAAGTTTTTGATCCTGTAAGATACATACATGGTGCCATTTGTGAACTTAATGTCTAGAAAAAAATGAAAGAACAGATTTGAACTTTAACCGTTTGTAAATGTAATGTTTAGATAAAAGAAAAAACAGATCTAAAGTTTGCTAAAAAGTAAAGGTAATGCATAGATAGAAAAGAAAGTAAATATTTACCTCGCAACGTTTCCAGCCGGCTCAGACGAGATCCTGACCGTGTCAATGGTCAGGGTGTTGATGGGCTCTGGGGTCGTGCTGTTGCTGTCCATGGCCGTCTCCGTCACGGTCCACTGGAGAGAGATGTTGAACGGGTACCCAATAGAGCTGGGCAGCTCAAGCGTGTAATTGAGGAGGCCTTCACGGACCAGCGTCATTGGGCTGATGAAAAACAATATTTTTTAAAAATATTTTTTAAAGGCATTGTATTAGCCTGCCACTTCAAAATGCAAAGAGAATATGCGATATCTCAAATGTGTAATTAAAAAAAATAATATATTATTAAATTATTATTTATTAAATCAAAAACAAGTAAAGTGGGCTTACTCCTTGTTGATGTGTATCATTTCTGTCAAGTTTGTCCCGTTGGCAATAAGAATCAGGTTGGAGTTGTGTATGTAGAATGGGTTGTTGGTGCCAACCAAGACATCCAGGTCTAAATGGATTACTGGGAAAAATAGTGGTTTTTCTTTGTTTACGAGAATACCCATGTGTAGATAGTTTACTGTCTGAAACGTTGAGGTGTTGTTGGCTTTAATAAACGACAGACAACTTTCCAACTTTAGATACACCAAATTAATGTAAAATGTATTTTGGCGACGGAATGAAAATGGTTGAAAATGCATTCAGTATAGCACACTATGCTGCAGGTTACAAAAAAAAAACCCTTATAGAAAATATTATTATCCTTCATAGCGTGCTCTCTTTCACGTACGAGAACTGGAGTGGTACTCACAACATAGCGGGCTCTTGCCATCTGTCTTCACAACATACGTCACATTGTCACTGATCAAAGGTTTGCTGGTGTGTGCGTTTAAACCCATTACAGCACAGCCTTCGGCACCACAGTCGTGGCAGTCAGATTCCTACAGATATATATATATATATATATATATATATATATATATATATATATATATATATATATATATATATATATATATATATATATATATATATATATAAATGGAAGTGTGCAGTTTCAAAATGTGCTGATGTGTAAGTTTGTGAGTGATGATGCATCAAGCCATTACCGTACCAAATGGTCACCAAGAAAATTACATGGGAAGCTGAGGAAATAGCACGGACTGTTGATGCTCTCTGTGAAGATCTTGACGGCAAAGTCGTGGCTGCAGCTATTGTAGCTGTTGACAACTGGAACAGTAAAGTGAAAACAGGTTTAAAGTTTGTATTTGGCTTGAAGACATACACACTGTTGAAAAGATAGTACTTCTAAACGTCCAAAAATCTATCATGAAAATATTGAAATTGAAAAATCTGAACATACGCAGATCAATATCATGAACATTCTGCTTCACGTTGTGCCGTGGTTCACAGCCCGGCTGTAGGTAGCCCCTGTTTGGGTAGAAATCCATATGGCCAACAGGGATTTTGATGCCAATATCTGAAACGGGATGTAATGTTCGTAACTTAAATAATAGATCGACTGTTTAACCATATCTATAAGTAATATTAATTGAATTGCTTTTTACTTAACAATAGTTAGATTTAGATGTCTTTTCAAAAAGGCTTTAAAATGCAGAAATAAAAGCTTGCCTTAGCTGAGGTTATGTGATTAGTACTACATTAATTGCGACTACTTTACCAATAGGCTACATATTATATTACTATGTCTGTTAGAAATTTGGTATTCACTAATTGTGTCACCTATCGCTGTGACTACATGCATGTAAACATTTAAATATCATATAGTCACCGACCTCATAATGTGTTGTTATGACAAGTAGATAAATATCATATATTTATCAAACGTATAATGGGTTTTATGGGTATAATAATGTTGAGGTATATGCCATATATTTACCAAAAGTATTGTGGGTTTTTGTTTGGCTATATGTTTGTCAATATCGCATATCTATATAATGAATCAAGTTTGTCAATTTCACTTAACTACCAAATGCATCATGTGTTTTATGGCTAGATGAATGTAAATATCACATATCTACTAAATGTATAATGTATGTCAATATCACATATGCACCAAATGTATCGTGTATGTCAATATCACATATTTACTAAATGCATCATGCATTTACGGCTACATGTATGTCAATATCCCATATCTACCAAATGTATCATGTATGTCAATATCCCATATCTACCAAATGTATCATGTATGTCAATATCCCATATATACAAAATGTATCATGTGTGTAAATATCACATATCTACCAAATGTATCATCTGTTGCCATTGATGTGTGTATCACATCGACCAACTCAGCGTCATCTTTGTCCAGCCTGACTTGTGAAGGTTCCAGTTCAAACAACGGCGAGCTGGGATCTAAACCTGTCAAAGTAACACAAGCAGCTTATGCTATTTTTTTTTCCTTATTGAAATGGTGTCATTTGGTCAGTTTAAGTACATGTAGCTGTTAATTTTTTCACTTAAAGTATTAAGGGACATCGCAGTTTAGAAAGTCTGAATGTATCTTAAAGGACCAAACCATCACTAACAGTATGTGCTAGTAGAGTACAGGCACCAGCCAAAGCTACGCCTACAACTAACCTGTGATCCTGCCAATTTTGTCCTTCTGGAATCTTTTACCAACATACCCAGCGATATGTGCGCCTAGACCGTGGCCAATCAGGTGGATATCGGAGGCTGGTATTTCTATCTCATCCTAAACAAATCAATGAAGTAAGCCTATATAAGTAATAGGCCTAGATGGATATAAGAGGCTGGTATTTCAATCTCCTCCTACAAAATCAATGAAGAAAGCCTATATAAGTAATAGGCCTATATGGATATAAGAGGCTGGTATTTAAATCTCATCCTAAAAAATCAATAAAGTAAGCCGATAAAAGTAGTAGGCTTATATGGATATAAGAGGCTGGTATTTCTATCTCATCATAAAATATCAATGAAGTAAGCCTATCTCAATAGTGGGCTTATATGGATATAAGAGGCTGGTATTTCTATCTCATCCTAAAATATCAATGAAGTAAGCCTATATCAGTTGTAGGCTTATATGGATATAAGAGGCTGGTATTTCTATCTCATCCTAAAAAATTAATGGAGTAAGCCTATGTAAGTAGTAGGCTTATATAGATATTATGAGGCTGGTATCTCTATCTCATCCTAAGAATCAATGAAGTTAGACTATATCAGTAATAGGCTTATATTGATATAAGAAGCTGGTATTTCTATCTCATCCTAAAAAAATAAAAAAGTAAGCCTATGTAAGTAGTAGGCTTATATGGATATGAGGCTGGTATTTCTATCTCATCCTAAAAAATCAATGAAGTAAGACTATATCATTGGTAGGCTTACATCTGCCTGCTTGTACATGCTGCTTCAAATATAAAATAGAAACAAAAATCTGTACTTGTGTTTGTCTTCTCGGCAAAGTTACCCCTGGACGGAATATTAAAAAAAAATTTTTACATTTTTATTTAAATAACCCCCAAGCTGTTTTAATATCCAGTGTTTTAGTTGCCGGGGACTGGCTGTCCAGTAAGTGTATGTCTCGTCAGGGTTGTGTTCAGTAGATTTACGTCCAGACTTTTTGACTGAACATCCTCTAGATCCCTGTCGTTAATTGTTTATAAACCTAATGGTACATTTCACGCATTGAGATAGGAAAGTGCCGAGTTTACCAGGAGTTGTTTGACTAGCTTGGCAATGTACGCAGCTACCACCCTGGAGTTTGAAACTGCTCTGGAGAAGGGCAGGACGGTGGACTTAGACCAGTCGACCAGAATCACGTTGTAGTCTCCGTGTTTCAGTAGCTCGTCTTTCATCTCCTGGGGCACAGGGATGATAACGATAAATATTTCAGTTACAATAATAATCACATACACAGTAAAAACTACAGTCGTGTTACTCCAGGGATAATAACGATAAATATTTCAGTTACAATAATAATCACATACACAGTGAAAACTACAGTCGTGTTACTCAAAGTCTTAAGCACGCACATGCATCCAACTGTGCTCATCCGTGTAAGATTTGTTTCTGATGTGCGTGAAGTCATGAATCAAGATTTGAGTTGACCTGTTCTTTAGATTTAGCCACAAGACTTCTAAATCGTCGATGTCTTCAACAGCAATAGGCAGGCCTGGCTTTGTCACATTCCGTGTATACAAGATAAAACTTGGTCTGTTGGAAATCAATAAGTAAATATATATGACGTTTACTCTTTATCTCTTTCTTTATATATATATATATATATATATATATATATATATATATATATATATATATATATATATATATATATATATATATACATATATTGTGTGTGTGTCTTAATATGAGTTTATGTGTTGTTTTAGTTTATGTGTGATGATATGCCTAAACTATCAAACGATATACACGTATTTGCCACACGACTAAACTCACTGAATGTCGTTGTCCGGAAGTGGAACTTTACGAGCAGACGAGTAGTAAGGATATTCGTTAAAGAAACAGCCGATGTTCTTATAGCAGGTAGCTGTAGGTAAAGAACGTGGTAAATATATAATAATAAAACGTTTGGTCCAAAGGTGTTTGTGGGAAACAGTTTAAAAGTGTATTGAAAGAAGCTACAACAAAACAAAAGTAAATAATGAAGTCTGTATTTTTTTGTAGAATTTACAGCAAGAACTATGATGATAAAGCTTGTATGTACACAAGCCTAAGACTTTATGCATGGCCATTTAGCAGTTTATTGACTTTGTGTGCCACCATCCTGCTATATACAAAAAGCATATGTAAACATACTGTTGTATATAGACTATGTGTGACTATTAAGTTGTACACAGACTAGATCGAATGAGTTGTATAGGGACTTATTGAGTATCTTATAAAACAGTAACACAAAAACATTACAGAAGATTAATTTTATTTTATTCCTTAAATCATAATCCTACAAACATATTTGATCTGCTCACTGTTTCAATGTTCATCAACCAGCTATAAATGCAGCTACACATATAGTCTACAGATAATTAAACCAGCTTTATTGGTATGTAAGTGTAGTGTTGGAGAAAATACTTACCCCCTTCACTTTTAGCTAAAGGAGCACACGCAGTTCCTAGAATTATTAAGCACACCAATCTGAACCACAACATTTTGGCTGGAAAATGTGTTTTTTTCGTTTATTTTCTAACTCATTTTAAAATGTGACAAGACTTCACTCCTAAGCTTTGTTTAATTGGATATCGGTTTAATTATTGACCAAATAGCTCACAACAGGTAGGCTAATTAGTGGGCAGGATACTTAAACACTTAAACAGACGATCTACATGCTCTACCTTTTATTAAAAAAAATGCTTTAAGTACTTTGGCAATAAGGAATTTTTCGTTTTTTAATTATACTTTCAGATATAAGATTAATTTAAAATTTAAAATATTAAATTCATCATGCTTAACCATTAGAGAACAATAATTAATGCATACATGAAATAGTTTAACCAATTTTGTAAATTAGTTCTACGTAAGTTTTACCAGATTTTGACGCTTTATCCACCTATTTTGTCTGTGTTCAGATATTATTCTTCGGGGGAGAGGACATTTGAAAAATCTTCCGTGGGGAGGGGGGGGGGGGGGGAAGGGGGGGGGGGGGGGGAAAGGGGCACTCGTAGTTTCCTGAGTAGGGTGGCGGACATTTTTTTCTGATGGCTCAGCAAAATCAGTCTGCTATAATGTTCGATGACTAGACTCCATGTGTTAACACCTGTATAATATGGTTCCTGCTGCCATCAAGAGATGCAACCTTCAGGTCACGTGCCTGAGCCTCAGTGAAGAGATCACGGTTTGCCCATTCATCGTGGTCTGTATATTGACGGTCTAACTGCTAGTCATTAAATATATAACCAGTATAAGATATCTCAGTAGATAAAACTAGAATACGTTAATGTAAATAATGTAGTGACTGAAAGTTTGTCAGTTTATTTAGTCGTCAAGTCTTTTAGATGTAAAGTGATTTAAAAAATTATTTGCAAAATAAACTGTGAAAAACTTAGAAAAAATATCCTAATGCACTGCAAGTTATGTTCCTAATATTTATTTATGTTCATTTCTATATAACTATTGGCGTATTTATGTAGGGGTTTTGGGCCTACAACTACCCGCCCACTATAATAATATATAGGTTATTGTGTATACAGTTAACAGTCCCCCTTAAAAACAGTAAAGGCTGAATTAGCGTATGTTGCATACGCTGATTTTAAATATTCCGTGTTTTCAATGATTAAAATTCTTAGTGTTTACAACGTTTATACCTGCTTACATCGGCTGTTAAACACAGTGTTCAACACATTTAGTCATTTCAGTGTTTGAGACTTGTCGCCTGTCTAGTTCATAATGTTCTTTAGTTTTTACTCGCAAATGTGTCTCTCCCTTTTTAAAAGTGTAAATTAAAACACCGTTTATTGTTCATTAAAAGGCCGTTGATTGTTCATTAAAAGGCCGTTGATTGTTCATTAAAAGGCCGTTGATTGTTCATTAAAAGGCCGTTGATTGTTCATTCAGAAGACGTTGATTGCTTGTCCTATCGAACTCTAGCTATCTCTGCCCGCATGCAGAGTGGTTAATGGGGCGACACCTGTTACTATTGTTAAGTCACCTCAGTAACGATCGTACCAGTACACCGACATCCCGATACAATTCATACCAGGTTACTCGAGTACCTGCCGTCTATCTAGTGTGTTGGTTATAAAAAAAACACCGCTAGAGACCAGTCCTACAGCTTGAAGTGATGATTCATACAGAATAGGCTCGAAAAGCTGGTTTCAAATGGTTCCAATTTTTGTAGCCAGAAAGCATATTTTCCTACCAAAATTGAATAATTTATAACATTTGTGCAATAAGTACAAAATTACTCTCGGTTACATTAAGACTAGAAATAGTCAAAAAATAATTACTAGTAATATAACAATAATTTAGTAAACACTTTTATTTTTAACTTGGATTAGTAGAGTCAGTGCGTTGTGATTATTGGGGATGGTATATTATCTAATATAAATACATTACTACGCTATACACCATAGATCACTATTGTGTATTATTATCAAGGAAAAAAATTGTTCTGACTTTTATTGTTTTACTCTCCCTGGCCATTCCGGTAGACTTTAAGGAGAGGTTGAGGACAGTTTTTGAAATTATTTGAATTAATAAAATAATTCTAAACGGCTTTTCAACGGCTTATGTTCGATACCAAAATATAAAAATTAGTGTAATCGGTGTTCCCAAACGGCTTTAATTTTTATAGATGTAAATACAATATAATTTTATCGCTTGCCATATTTTTAAAAAGATTTTAAAATAAATCAATACATGTGCAAAGCGTTGAGATAGCGAATCTGGATAAACCTGTATCAAATAAAATACATTGAACCAAAAACAAAACGCTTTTAAATTAATATGTGATAAAGGAATATTTACAAAGACACGCGGTGCAACTAATTGTTTTTTCCACGTTTGCAAAATGGCATTCCAGCAAACAAGATATGGTACAATTTATTACCAAAGGGAAGATAAACAACCGGTTCATATTTCAAAAGATATGTGGTTTATTTCCCCTGTTTTGTTATGTCATGTTTAATAACCTTTAAATTATATATTTTACGGCAATCTTTCTCACTCGCTATCTCTGTGCATATATGTGTATGTTTGTGTGTGTATGTGAGAGAGAAAGAGTGCGTGTATATTACATAAATGTATAGACCTAGCTAAATTAAACTGTAACAAAACGATTAAGACAAAAACAACTGTAACAAGTTTTCTTTGTTTCAAAATTTTTATTGAAATCAAAATTAGTTGTTGAACTTTTTAAAAAATGTAAATTACATTTTAAAAGTACTTTTTATACCTGCTAATTTTAGATAATTAGAATTACAAATGTTCACTTTTTTAAGCTCTATCAGGTTATCTTTTTTTCCATATTTCCTACTGTGCTCCTAAAATCGAAAAGGAACAATTTTTTAAATTACAACATCATCGAAAAAATGTATTTGGTTATTTGTTTCTTGATCTAATTTAATTTAAATTTGAACTGTTCAAAGTGTGTCAAAGACGTGTTTATTTAATGTAACAAATCATGTTTACCTACTTACTGTAACAAATCAGGTTGACCTACTTACTGTAACAAACCAGGTCGACCTACTTACTGTAGCAAATCAAGTTAACCTACTTACTGTAGCAAATCAGGTTGACCAGCCTGTTCTTGATGAACCCGAGGTGGTTGAACCCGTAAGATTTGATGACATCGCCCGGGGAAGAAGCGAAGCTGATGAGGTCAGGCAGCAGAACTGTCTGGCTGATGCCCACCGAGATGATCCGGACACCGGAGTCTTTGAAGAGCTGGGCTGAGGTCAGGGCTGAAAGATAACAGTTGTAGTTGTTGTTTTTAAGTTTTAAAAAATAATGCTCTGTCACCAGAACTTTTGTTGGATTTATTTTATTTTATTTTTAAATAAAGTAATACAATAATTTCAATATTAAAAGCTAATGAGTACCCAATAAATATAAATAAACAAAACAGTGTTGTTAGGGAAATCTTTAAGTTAATAAACCATAGAAATGCAATGATGTGCAATCGACACTGCTAAGTAAAACAACGATGGCAGAAACGTTCGATAACAAATAAAAATTATAAATAGAAAACAGTTAGATAAAATGGTTTTTGACGAGGTAATAAAAGTAGACTTTAAGTCAAATAAAAGCATGTTTATTATTATTTTAGAAAGCCACTTATTTAAGTAGAAATTAAAATAACCAAAACTGGTTAATACGTGTTAAGTAAAGTTTCCCTTTCAAACCTGACGGTCTATGGGGCAAGTGAAGTAGAGTTCACTTGTTTCTGTGACCTCGGCATATGAAGAGATAGTGTGGTCAGCACTATGCCCAGCCGCCTTTACTTTCCCTGACGTGAGTTAGGTACCCATCAGAGTTGGGTGGACTCAGGGACGATAAATACGTGTTGCTCAATAAGTTTTAGAAATTAGAATCGCATTAATCGTAAGGTAATATATCAACATTAAAATTCAGACATTTTATCCAACGGTTGGTAGTTTCAATAACAGTGTGGTTCTGTTTACCTAGTGACTTGGCGGAAGTATTGACATCGTCAGTTACCAGGACGATAATCTTCTTGGCGTTGTCCCTGCCCCCATTGGTCGACCCGAACATGGCGTTGTTACGAACAAAATCAAAAGCTTTGTTGGTGTTTGTCTGGGCGTTCAGGAACTTGGCGTTTTTCAGAACCTACAGTCAGAGTAATTAACACGTCATTTTCAATTTAACCAGGAGTCTATTGTTTAAATGATCTTGTGTTGTTTAAATAATTTTAACCGTGTAGTTATTAACAATTAAATAATGATGTATGTGAATAATATATGATGGTGATGATCATATTTGAATTTAATTATACAGCTTTAGTTAATTTGATGAGTTCATTTTTAATCTAGGATCTACGATAGGTTTTAATTATTAAAATTCTTCTTGTAAAAGATGTATTAAAGAATAATTGAATACAGATTTTTTATCAATCGCATTAAATGGTAATGTGTTTCTGAAATCTTGTACTGCAACAATGTACAGGATAAGACAATGAATTATCATACCGGCTCCATTAAAGAAGCATCTTCGAACGTCTTCAGGTCAAAGAGCCTGACAGTCGAGTAGCTAAAGGTCAGGGCCGCAAACCTGACGCCGTCTGCCCCGAGGATGAAAAACTTGGGGATGTCAGCGATGAAACTCTGCTGCAGTTTGAACTTGTCGAGCCCGGTGTTCATGGTGGAGTCGAGGATGAAGATGACGTCAGCCAGGACTTTAGTCTGGCAGGGAACGGTTGTCTCTGGTGTCCCAGTGGGTTCTGGGACGGGAAGAAGATGTTCAGTGAGAAAATATTGCGTGACGGAGTCGGCATAGACGAGATCAGAGTTTTTTAAAAGCTTATATTTGTGTAGGATAGAGGGGCGCACTATTGTAGACGTCCAACGCCTAACACAAATAAGAAATAGAGTTTATATAGAAAATATATCATTTAACAAATATACCCGCCCCCTTTTAGGAGAGTTAAGTCCGCTGCACTATACGTTTCAAGTGCCCCCCCCCATCCCGCCCCACAGAGAAACATTACTAAAGAATTTAATACTTGAAGTGATTTGGGTTTAATCGTTTTCGAAGATGTTTGCAATCTTAACGTTTGTGTACCTGTAAGTTCATCGTATGGAACTTCCTGAACAGGTACAGGTAAAACAACTTTTGCTACTGTTGTAGTCGTAGGCTTTTCCTCTGCAACAAAACAATGACAGAGGGGAAACTCTTTGTTATTCGATTATCAATACAAGTGCCAATGACGAAATCAATCAGTCTGATGGCGCTATTTATTGTAGGTAAGTAATGTCGTAAAACTTTATCAGGTTAATAAAGCATATATATATATATATATATATATATATATATATATATATATATATATATATATATATATATATATATATATATATATATATATATATATATATATATATATATATATATACAAGAATTACTTGCAGAATTTTTACAATAAAATAAATAAATGCATTTTATCTGCATGTTTTGCATTTATCTATACACTCTATGCAAGGGTAAACATATTTTACTTAAATATTTCAGTAATTAAGTAATATATTTTTTAAAAATAAAATTAGTTAACGATACTAACCTTCGGTAGTCGTGGTTGGTTCTGTAAGAAAATTAGAAGTTAAATTATGATAAATAATAATTGGTAAAATACATACCAGAAAATTAAAACACATACATAAAACAAATTGTGTTTGTAAGTAAAAATAAATAAAATTACTCATCTCAGCTGATAGTAAAATTGTATTATTGATAACTAAAAATAAGATGATGATTGTGCGTTTTCATATATATATATATATATATATATATATATATATATATATATATATATATATATATATATATATATATATATATATAGGAATATTTATTTATATAGATTTTTATAAGGTTTTAAACAATAAGAATTAAGTTTGATGTATTGGTTAATGTTTGTCATCTTGTTTTCTATTAAAGTTTAATCAAAATATACTAGCTTTTACAATTAGTAAAAGATAGTGACTTACTTTCAGTAGTTGTTGTTGCTGTTAAAAACAAAACATTTAAAGATGAATTTACTAAAACACTGCGCTCAATATTTAAATTAACATAATACGTTTAATAGTTAGTAATGTATATAAATTTGGCAGCTGATTGTGTTCTTTTAAACAAATAAAATATACATAGAAAGTAATAATAAAGCTTTAAAGGATATATTTTAAATGTATTTTTATACCATAGAAACGTAAAATAAGTATTTAAAAACTGAATGATATTTTACAACCTACTATAATATGATGGCTTCCTTATTTTTTAAACGAGAACTAGACTTAATTATATTGGTATTTTAGTGATACAATGATTATTTTAATACATAAAATATTTTATTGCGAAAATATATAATTTTGTGTAGTTACATAAAGATATTTGTTACATCGTTAAATTTAAATTAAATTTAAAATTATCGAAAACTTACTTGTTGGCGTTGTGGTTGCAGCTGTAAAAATGTCAGCATTATGTATTAATATTTGACAATAATAAGTAATTAATTATAAACAAATAATATTACATAATTTTTGGGTGTGATTTTTTAAAAGTAATTAAACTGATTAAAAGAATAATGAAAAATTATTATTTTACATTCAATGGATTTTTTTTTTCTAAAGTAGTTAAATAATAAACATACTTGTTGTCGTGGTCGTTGTAGTGGTAGCTAGAAAAAGTAATTTAAAATTCCTGACAGTTTTATTTTGTAATGTAAACTAATAAACAATAAATACACATAAATAAACAAATATACAACGTAATGTACCAATTTATTTTGTTTAATATAAGAAAACGAAAAGTGCGCAGCATGCTGTTTTTTATGAAACATTGTTCCTGACAACATGAAAAATGTTAATTTTACATGTTAGAAGAAACAAACTAGTTTTCATTTCATTTCTTAGTAAATTAAAATGTAATCTGTATTTTCAGATATCACATTTTTACACAGTTTCTTTCTTTTTAATTGACGAACAGTTTATAATGTCATTGTTGGTGGTATGTATAAATGTAACATAAAAATTAAAACAATAGGAAATTCCAACCCAATAAAAGCAAAAATACAATCTAAGAATTCGTTGTCTTTTATATTTGTATATTTGACTTTTTTTTAATTGTCGCAAAAAATAATAATTTTAATAATTTTCAAATATACTTACTTGTTGGTGTTGTAGTCGTTGCTATATTTATTTTAAAAGAATATTTACAAGTTTAATACTCAATACATTAAGTGTATATGTATATTTTTATTGACTATAAACCAAATATAATTTTCACTTGTTAGAAAAACAACAAACATTTATTTCAATACTTTTTATCATTTTCTTAATGAATTTTTAAAGATCATACTAGTAGCATTTGAAGCCAATGTATGTCAAATTGAGATAAAATTGATTAATGTAGTCCTAATTTTCAAAAATAATATGTAACTACGTATTAGGTTTGTTTATAAATAAGTATTATTTTATTTACAAACAGATACAAAATAATAAATAAATAATATACATGGTTTAAAAGATGTGTATTTTAATAACAAAGTCAGCTTAACAAAATATTCTTGTATCATTATAGTATTAAATTTAATTATAAAGCTGTGCCACATTGATAATTATAATAATGATACTAATGATAATGGTAATATACTTACTTGTCGGTTCTGTAGTCGTTGCTATTTGAATAGAAAATGTGTACTAGGTATGTAACAAGTTTACATCATAAATGTTTAATTCATATCGTTTTATAATAGTTTTTTAAAAAAAACGTAGTATGTGCCTCATTAATAAAAAACAATGCACCGCATTTGTAAATTCTTTCATTAAAAAGTTAGATAACAAACTTATAATTCTTACAAAATTATTTTATTATAAGAATTTTAAAACGTATGTATTTTAAAAACTATTTATATAATAATTCTTAAATTGTGTATTTTTGTCATTTTGTTATTTAATATACAACAAATATGTATATTCGTTAAAAATAATAATTTTAAACCTAAATTTTCATAAACACATTTTAAATTTAATTATAAAAACATTTTAAATTTCGCTCTTAAAAATAAGCATATACGTACATTTTAATTATAACGATAGGTAAAATATAAAATTGCAGGGGATATTAACTTTAGAAAATCACCAAGATCCTGATTTTTAATTCGAATTGGTTTCTTGCACTTTTTGAGATTTGTTCCATTTTTGTGTTAGGATTAAGATTAATTTTAAAACGTTTTTCTTAACTCAGCTTCGCGTTTGTTTGTTTGGTTGTTTGGATGTTTGTTGTTAAAATTGACATCGAAAATTAGCCCACTTCTGATTGTTCTAGAGACCTGAAATTTGGCATGCATGCTACTTTCGCCTAACAATTTCAGATGCAATCATAAAAACTAGCAATTAGTGACCGTAATTAGCTTAATTTAATTACGCCCCAAGGACCATAAAATTGAGGACATGATTTCTAAAGATACCGACAAGACTGACACAGTTACTTCGGCCTCAATCGATGTGAGCGCGCTGGCCGTGATCGTATAGTGGTTAGTACTTCGCGTTGTGGCCGCGACAACCCAGGTTCGAATCCTGGTCGCTCAAGATTTTTAGTCCGTGTATTTGTAAACACTTTTTTAAAAACCACGTTTTTTATGTGTAGCAACGGACTAAAAAGGAGAACGGACACGGTAACACATTGTTAACGGTGACACGGTTGGTACGCTGGGCATGCTAAAATACACATAAACACGTTTTTCCTTAACTCAGCTTCGCGTTTATTTGTTTGTTTATGGGAGATTTGATCACGTGATTCGTGAGTAGATCTCCACGCCAGCAACGTAAATTACACCCTTTCTCTGTTTAAAGCGTATCGGTCGCTCAAGATTTTTTTAGTCCGTGTATTTAAAAACACTTAGTCAAGTCATACTTAATCAAGTGATTAGATAAAGTAGAAAATAAACTATATAAAAAACTTTTTAAAAACCACGTTTTTCATGTGTAGCAACGGACTAAAAAGGAGAAAATAAAATACTTAAAAAAAACTTTTTAAAAAACCACGTTTTTCTTGTGGACTAAAAAGTAGAAAATAACTATTTACATACATTTGATGACAAAAAACGTGGGTCGGGCAGATGGGTCGGGAAATTTGATGGTGAACGTACCCACGTTTTTTGTCATCAAATGTATGTAAATAGTTATTTTCTACTTTTTAGTCCACAAGAAAAACGTGGTTTTTTAAAAAGTTTTTTTTAAGTATTTTTATTACTTTATTTTATCATCCCAAAAAATATATAATAAAGTTCTGATGATAGTATAATAATATGTATGTAAACAAAAATAAAGTATGTATCACATTTTTAACCTGAAGTGATTTCTTAGCAAGTTTTAATTTTAATAGTAGCTTTTAGTTTAGAAATTGCATATTTTAATACAATTCTTAATTCTATATATATTTCCACATAACTCACACAAAATCACGAAATAATTATTTTGTTTCTGTCGTTTCTTTATTAGATATGTTTATGTTCCTGCATTAGAAAAGCACTTTTACATATTTACAAAAAAATGGTATGCTCATTATAAAAGGTTGTACTTATATCAATGCCTTTTAAATATTTTTTTTAGTTTAAGTTTAGTGTAATACGGGTCATTTTTTTTTTAATTTAAAAATTTTGTTTGATTCAAATACTATTGGCGTTCGGTCTTCAAAATATAAAACACCATATTTATTTTAAGAAAAAGAAATATTTAACTTCGTTACTACAATACGTCTGTTATTAAAGGTTTAAGAAAACATAGTACTGACCATTGTCCACGTCGCCAGAGGAAATCTACTGAATACATTGAAAAAAAAAATTCTACTATTGCGGTGTGAATCTTCCCAGGGGCCTACGATTATAGACCCTATAGTTTCCTGTTTGATTCTAAAAGACATTGCTTATTTCAAGTAGCTTGAAAAACTTACTTGTTGGCGTTGTTGTGGTAGTCGGCGTTGTTGTAGTAGTTGGGGTTGTTGTGGTAGTTGGGGTTGTTGTAGTAGTCGGCGTTGTAGTGGTGGTCGGCGTTGTTGTGGTAGTTGGGGTTGTTGTGGTAGTCGGCGTTGTAGTGGTAGTCAGCGTTGTAGTGGTGGTCGGCGTTGTAGTGGTGGTCGGCGTGGTAGTGGTGGTCGGCGTTGTTGTGGTAGTCGGCGTTGTAGTGGTAGTTGGAGTGGTTGAAGTAGCTAGTGAAAAATTTAGAAGTTTAAAAGCAATTAATTATAAAATGTTAGAACACGCAAGTTCTGTTGTCAAAAAAGATTATTTAAAATTAATTACAAAGCACATTTATAATTCAGTAGAATAAGTTACATTAAAATTGGGGAAATATGCCAGTTTCTTAGCAGTATTTAAATATCATAAATGAATTTTGAACTATGATTTAATAAGTTTGAAACAACTTACTTGTTGTCGTTGTTGTGGTTGCTAAAATGTAATAAAATATAGAAAAGAGATAAAAATAATAGTAAAGACAAAGTTTTAAATTCATTATATTTTATTTTATTGTTTTAAAAATAATTTGCTTTTCAGTTAAAATACTTAGTAAGCTAATCTTTCTTATCTATTAATCTTTCAAAAAAATAATTGTCTTAATTACATTTATATATAATAATGTTAATGTACAAATAATATTCTACTTCCATACATACAACAAATTATATTAATAACTACATCTTACTTGGTGGGGGTGTTGCAGCTACTGTAATAAAAGAAATTTAAATATTAACTCACTTTTAAATAAACCCCATTAAAGTTTACGTGTAAGTAATATTTACAACTACACATACTATTCTTGTTGGAAATCTTTAAATAATTGTATAAAAATTATTTCTTTTTATTTTTTGCTGGCATGCTTAGAATATAACCCGCACTCAAATCTTGAAGCAATAACATTTAATGGTAGTCTTCTAACAACAAAACATCTTACCTATCGGCTTTGTTGTGGTAGCTGTAGATATAAACAAGCTTTAATTCCAACAATTATTACACATATTTTCAAAAAATAAAAACATGAGTTTGATTCAGCAATTTTGGAAAAAACTACAATTCCAAAATAACATCATTGCAATAAACATTATGTAACATCAATGATGTAGTTTTAATGTAAATGTATATTATACCTATAACTCATCAAATACGAATGAAGGCAAAAAGAGAAAATTACTAGAAAAAAAAGTTAAAACCACGGTCGAAATTTTTGATGCAAAACTTATACATTTAATAGCAGTTATCGTTCATTGTCTCGTGTTGCCTTGCTAGTTCGGCTCATAGTAAAATACGTCAAAACTATTCATTTTTAACGCGAAAGACTTAAGTTTGATATATATTTTGTTGCTTGCTTATATCTATATACAAATTATAAAGGTAGGCTGTACGTGTAAGTAATAAAAGTAATATGGCTTATCAATAAAAATATAACTTACTTGTTGGTTTTGTCGTAGTTGCTTTTGTATGTAAAAAAAATGTTAGATATAATTTTTTTATTTTTAAAGTTTCAGCGATAATTAAAGATAAAATTGTACTTAGCTATTTTAACTTGAATAATTCAGAAATAAACAATATTAAAATTAAATATTTCAGCGTACTTAATTCCAAAAAATTATAGTAATAAAAAATAGATCATTACGTGTGTATGTGTATACTTGTAGGTGTCGTAGTGAATTAAATTAATAGCAATTATGACTTTTAAGAAGCAAATAGTTTTTGAAAATAAACAACACATTCTTTAAAGCATAAACGTAAATTAATATAATGAAAAAATTGTTATTAGTATTTGAATACGAGCTTACGTGTAGGTGTTGTAGTGGCTGAAAAAAAAACAATAATCAAGCTACTTTCATGAAGCAAATAATGATAAGGAATAAATATAAACAAAATTCTTTCAAAACATTTTTCCTTTCTCTAGAATTCTTCATTAAAAACTTGAACGCAAACTAGTTGGATCCTATATTAGTGTAACAATGACTTGCAGTTATCAAATGTACATTCAACACCATTTACAATTTCATAATGTTTACTGATTTGAAATTGGTTTATCTGTTTATATTTATAAATTGATAATAAAATAACCTTAGTGCACTTACTTGTTGTGGGTTTGGCTAAATGGAATAGTAATAAAAGTTATTTTAAAAACAAACTGTTTCAATAGTCTTGAGTTTGAATAGTATAAGTGAACATTTTTTTAGTATTAATTATAAAAATTGTAAATATAAAAGTGTTAGTTTCCAATTAATTTCATTTATTTTATCAATCCCATTTTATTTACAATTGCTTATATTTTTAGGCTAAAGTAAAATGCATTCATTTTATATAACTAAATTATAATAACATAAATCCTGATTCAAAATATTTCTTTGAAAAATTAATTTCATGTTATAATTACTATTTATCATGTCTTAACTTTAGTGGTAATATTACTTACTTGTAGTAGTAGGCTTAGCTGTAAGAAATTATTTTAAATGTAAACAATTACATTTTTACAATATAAATACAAAATAATCTTTTTTAATTTACTACAGTGAAAGAGATACTAACACTACATATTCTTTTCTAAATTAAACTTCATTCTAAATATTTCGAAGGAAAATGTAATTTATAATTAAACAAAATACTTACTCGTAGTTGTTGGTTTAGCTGTAAATGTAAGCATTTTATATATAAAAAATAAAATCATTTTAATCATGTAAAACTATACATTGTTAGAGAAATATAAAAAATTCCTAAATAAATGCATTTTCGTTTAATTAAAATAAGTTTAATTTTCAAAAAAAAAATAGGCCTACTTGTTGTTGTAGGTTTTGCTGAAATAAAAAAAACAAGGATAAAGTTTAGATTTTTAAAATATAAAATGCACTAATACATCTAGCCTTTATTTTAAATAATATGAAATGCAAGTAAAACTTATTTGACAGTTTAAATAATTCCTTTTTATGAACAAAATATATTACATTATTTTTGACACAAGAATTTCTTTTAACTTAAAATGTTTACTTACGAGTGGTAGTAGTTGCTGCTGAAATATAAAAAAGGTATACATGTTTTAAAATATCAGTTCATTAATATATTTAAAACAAACCAGTAATATTCGATACAATCAAGTACCCACTTTTTTTGTCACAAGTCGAAAAGAAACAGTAAACCGTATCAACAACTGCTTGCCCGGCGTCAATGGCACTGTTGGTTACTGAAGCTGCGGTGTCGTAAATTGAGCTGAAGATTCCCCTTTGATTGGCTGTTTAGATATATTCATTATTTCTTTTACAATTCAGAAAGTTACATTACTAATCGTTGCTTTTTTTTTATTTGAGTAGGAAATTTTAATTTTTGTAATGAATTTTGTTATACAATTATTTAATGCATAATAGGTGTTATATGAACTTAAAATAAAACAGTTTTGATAAAACCTCAACTCACAATTGAACCCATTAACAGATACAGCAAAAGCTGCTAGCAGAAGTATTACAATCTTCATGATGAAAGTGTGAATCTATGAAGTAGAGCAGTATTTTATTTATTTCAGTAAAATGTAACTTGGAGCTTGTGTATAATCTCTCTTTGTTGAAACTTTTTCTTAATAAAATTACATTTTAAATATTTAAAAATTTGATATACGTATTATGTTTTAATTAAATCAAATTTTAATTTATAGATATAACAACATACAACTCGAGTTACTTGTAGTAGCTCAACTTACACTCCACTCCAGAAAAGCAACAGAACGTGTGTACAGTCTATCACTATCACGACTCAGTGATAAATGAATTTCTTCACTGACAGGCCTATGTCTCTCCTGTATTGTTGTAAATAGCCATGTTCAGCACGAACAGAAGCAGAAGACAAATGTTTACATTGTACATTTGTATTGTAAGTAAAGAACCATTTTGCACGATTCTGTTTTCTGTATCGAATTTCCCACGGTACATTTCAAGGCTACACTATCATTCAGTTTCAGTTTGTGTTTGAATAGCTGAAGACAAATACAATCAATGTAGTAATGAAAATAAGAAAGATATGTCTTGACAATGCAACGTTGAGTATGCTTTTTGTTTGATGGACACTATGACGCACAAACGAAGATTTTTCAATAAAATGAGGTTACGAATAACTTGTGTCACAATATATCTACAAAACGTTTATATCTAATTCTTTGTTTTTATTTAAGTTTAGTTAAGACCATAGAAGGAATAATGTAGTTTATCCACAAGAGGTTAATTTAATTTACATCACTTTGTAGAAATATCTTAAAACCGAAATGCATGTGTACATTTTTAAAGTAATTCAAGATCAAATTACGATGAATCTGGTTTAGATACATGCAGAAGATAGTGGTCAAATAACTGTTAATCTGGTTCAGATACATGTATAAGACAGTGGTCCAATTACGGTAAAACTGGTTCAGACACATGAATGACACAGGGGTTAAATTACGGTAAAACTGGTTCAGATACATGCAGAAGACCGTGGTCAAACTACGGTATAATTGGTTTAGATACATTGCTGGATACAATTGTTATTACAAGGGCATTTTTAATTTGGGACTCAGATGAAAACCTAAATCTATCAACTACTGTGGTTTGCTTTTCTATTATATACCAATATCGTAAGCAAAGCATCTTGTTTTTTTTTAAAATAAAACGTATTTATTTATTTCTATTTTTCACTAATTGTTTTTAAGGATAGTTACCACGATAGATTTTTTTTTTATTTAACACATTTCTGGGTGTTTAATAAGTTCATATGTTTTAGTTGTTAAACTATAGACAAAAATAATATATAGCCGTCAATAGCATTTCTGGTTGCCATGGAAACCGCGAAAAGGTGTGAAAACTAACACCTTTTCGAAGCGCTATAACTTTGTTACCATAAGAGGTTTTTAAAAGCGTATGAAAGATTTAGATTTCTCAAACCAAACTATACATTTTTGTGTTTACTTATTGCGATAGCTCGTACTCAATTTTTAATACAAAGTTTTACGTAAATTCATGTGCAAAAATTAGAGGGTGGTGCTACATAAATATCAACATTTCCTAAAGTATTGTAGTAAACTTAATGTACAAGTTTTGTAGATGGTATAGTGCTGAATGCACGTGGAATGTTTTAGTCTTGTATGACAAAGGGTGGGAAAATATATTTTTTATTTTACCAGATTTAACTAATTCTGCAATATTATTTTGAATGTTTGTTTTTCGAAAAAAATGCAATCATCCCTCGATTTAGTACAATAAGATATCATACATTTAAATTAAATGTAAATGTTACTATTTGTAATAAGAAATGGGAAATAAGAGGAGCATTAAATTATTTTAACAAATGTTTTTGAACTCGAGATTGTTGTGAGCGTAAATGACATTGACAGGCACTAAAATAAATAAGGTGTATAAACAATATGTAAGTTTTTTTGATAGTTCAAGATGAATGGTGCGGTCAATGTTTTTATACGAGGGTCGCTGACTTATTTGTGGATTAAGGACCCTTTGTATATTATGGTAATCAGTACTTGGAGAGAGAGTCTGTGTTGGTATATGTGAGGTCTAATTTATTAAAATAATGTATTTTCAGTTATCTATTTTTACTTTCTCGTATATACGAAGTATAGAGAAAGTCTTGTAATCGTGCAAAAAAAAAAATCGAGATTTTTGCAAATCTCGACGTTTTACATCTCACTGATACGGAAAAACATAATTTTGCAATCTTGTCCGTATGTCTGTGTGTCCGTGTGTGTGTGTGTGTGTGTGTGTGTGTGTGTGTCCGTGTGTAAACACGATAACTTGAGTACCGTTACAGCTAGGTTGATGAAATTTCATATACAAGTATTATATCAAAATCGTAGATCCGTATCAACTTTTGAGCGATTTCGGATAACCGGAAGTGGTACTTTTTCTACTTTGAATTTTTCAAAAGCCTATAACTTGAGTACTATTTCAGATAGATAAATGAAATTTCACATGTAAGTAAAAGATCTAATTCTCTACCTTCTGTTAAATTTTGAGTAATTTCCGTTGACCGGAAGTAGTACTTTACGCTACTTCCGATTTCTCAAAAAACTAATGTAAATTTATAAAGTACTAATACTATTGCGCACTATTATACACACCTTTATTAGGCGTTCGCTTGGTGCGCAATTGTTTTTTACTGAGATTCTATTCTATTTTTAAAAGTTTCAGTATTTAAAATGGATTAAAGATCATAACAATATCCCCAGTTACCATCCCCTGTTGTTTTATATAAGAATATTCGAGAAAGTTTAGGGGAGATCACTACCGATTTATTTTCACTTCGACATTAAAACAATAACAGAAAGCTATTTCTCCACTGCTCCGCTAAGTTTAACACAGATAAATAGTGTACAAAATACAAAGCAAGACGAAAATATCAGAAGAATATATATTTATTCAGTTAAGTTTTATTTTAAGAATAAACACTTGTATAATTTGTTGAATTTGTTTAAATGATCAGCTCTACCGTTGTATTTGATTAAACAGACATATGACGACTTTTGTAGTTTACTCATCCGAGTTGTCGGACGCTTTAGCCCGTCGTGGCTCCTTGTGGACTAGAGTAAAAAGAAAAGATGTCAGTAGAGATAGATAATCTTGATACACATGGTTATATTAATGTAGTAGGTTGTATAACAATCTATAATCTTATTTACAAAAATGACTGCGTTAACGTTTATTTCGTGTAGCGACTTGCATGATCTGTTGGTAATAGACCTAAGACAACAAATTAGTACAGAATTAACAGTAGAGACTTATGTACATGTTTTTCAACCATATCAGTCTTTTTCTTCTTCTTCTTCTTCGTTCTTAATTTTAGTAATGGAAGGGATCCCCTCCAACGCAATTAAGTATACGTGTCAATTGGTTATGCGTCATTGAGGCCATTGACTAAGATTTCAACCTGCTTTTCTTTTTGGATTTGCTTCCGTAGCCTTTGTCCAACCAAGAACAAACTACAAGGCAACAGTTGTTTTATTTTGCAGTTGTCTCTCTTAGAAGAGTGTCTGTCCCCATTTGCCCAAGGGTTCGAACTCGAGACTTAACTGTTTAGCAAACATGAGCTTTACCGACTCGACCACGCCGACCCCTTAGCCAAATCAGTCAATGGACACAACCTGGACCACAGAAGTCGACCTTCGACCCTTAACTACTCAGCCTACCTACTCACCCCCTCCTTTAGTACACGGCCTACCTACTCATCCCTTCCTACTCACCCCCTGTTTTAGCACACGGCCTACCTACTCACTCCCTCCTTTAGCACATGGCCTACCTACTCACCCCCTCCTTTAGTACACGGCCTACCTACTCACTCCCTCCTTTAGCACATGGCCTACCTACTCACACCCTCCTTTAGTACACGGCCTATCTACTCACCCCCTCCTTTAGCACACGGCCTATCTACTCACCCCCTCCTTTACCACACGGCCTACCTACTCACCCCCTCCTTTAGCACAAGGCCTACCTACTCACCCCCTCCTTTAGCACACGGCTTACCTAACCACCCCTTCCTTTAGCACACGGCCTATCTACTTACCCCCTCCTTTAGCACACGGCCTACCTACTCATCCCTTCCTACTCACCCCCTCCTTTAGCACACGGCCTACCTACTCACCCCCTCCTTTAGCACACGGCCTACCTACTCATCCCTTCCTTTACCACACGGCCTATCCACTCACCTTGACACGCGCGATTGGCCACCTCCTGCTTGATCTTGCTTAAAGCCTCAAAGCTGGCCACCTGGAAGACGTTCCTCTTGTCACTGGCCACACCCTCCAGTTCTTCCTTCACTGCCTGGCCGATGCCGATAGAGATAATGGCGATCCCGTCGTCTTTTATCTGTTGGGCCGCTTCAATTGCTGAAACAAATGAAGGATTTCTCGTCATACGATTGGATTGGAAACAAAAGTTTGTGATGGGTTAACTTTTAGCGTTTGATTCAAGTCATTAAACAGCTCTCAGTTTCTTATAGCCTATAGTACAAATCTTACCAGATGGATGAAATGGCCTCGTTAGGTTAAATTAACTAGTGGAATTAATGTGAGAGTCTTATTTTCTCTTATCAAACAGATATTAAGTTGAAAAGGGTCTTCAGTCTATTTTTCTATCTCTGAGAATTTCATTTATTGCACACATAGAATTTGCTAACCTTTAAAGAAGTTTATCTTTAAGGCTAAAGGTATCGACGAGGCGATGTTAATTTTATCCACTGACTTGATGATCTGACCCTTATTAAGCTATCTTCTTCTTATTTGCTGATAATTATATTATCGTTGCGGCTATCAACGAACACAGTTTAGTATAATGCGTCAATATGTTATACACCATATGGTCTGTTGACTCCAACTTCAGGCTGCTTTTCTTTCTAGGTTTACTTCCTTAGTTTTTACCAACACAACAAATAACTACATGTCAGCTGTTTTTTTTTTCATTTTGCAATTTTCTCTCCAAGATCGATTACCGTCCCCAGCACGCGAGCCTTGTTTTCCTGGAGGTCCGATCGTGGGACTTGCAGGTCAGCAATCGTGTGCTATCCCAAGTTTAACTTCTAAAGCTTTTCACTAGAACATGAGACTATCACCGTTGTGAGAAATTAAATTCTACCGTCAATTTGTTACTTACTGGCTGTGGTGTTCCTAGACCTGCCGTCGGTCATGAAGACGATCAGTTTGCTGGCATCGTCCCTCCCCCCAGAACCCTCCTCAAACATCTCTTCCTCTAGCACAAGTCGCAGTGCCTTATCTGTGTTGGTGGTGCTGTTCATGTACGGTAGAGACAGTAAACTCTGAAAAAACATCAACCACACTAAGAATTACAAACAGCAGCAGCAAGTGGTGTAGGAAGATTAATGTAAAACGACATCACGCATTGTATGAATTTTCCTGTGAAATATCAGGTGTTGTAGGAATTATACTCTGAAGCGGAAAAAAGCGTTTTAGCAATGAAACTGTGAAGCGACAACAAGCATTGTGGATGGTTTAAAATATCGATTAAAAAAATACACACTACCGATGAAACAATGAATCAGAATGTGAACGTGGTATGGTATGGTGTGGCGATAGAGCGTACGACTGCTAACCGAAAAGTCCAGCGTTAGGTTACAGTCTTCTACTCTATCCCATCATAAACGTATCTGAATTTGAGGGAAATTTAATAGAGTGTGGCATTGACCAGAACATCCTATTTCTTTAAAAGTTATGTTCGCACAAACAGATACAATCTATTTCATCTAACCTAATGTCCACTAATTTTTTTTGAGACCACGTTGCTTATTACCTCTGTGACAGACTTGGAGTCGAGTTTGTCTTGGAAGTCAAACATTTTTTCGGCCAGGTAGCTGAAGATGATACAAGCGAAACGGGCGCCGTCCTCCCCAAAGGGGAAGTTGCTGGCCACCTCCGCGGCGAACTGTCGCTGTTTCTGGTAGTTGACCGGGCCAATGCTGCCAGAGGAGTCCAGAACAAACAGGATATCGGCCTTGGCTGGGCAGGGCTTTGGTGGTGCTGTAAACATGTTCATGTCGTGAGCGTTCATAATTCGTTTGAAAACAAGAAACTTATAGTCATCAATCAGATTTTAGCAAATACATTATTTTAATATTAAACTGAAAAATTTGACTTTAATTCTACATTAGTTGAAATTTCCTTGTTAATTTATTTTAGTTATTAAAATTAAACAATAATATGTATACTTATTTTTAAAAATTGCAATAAGTTATTATTATTACGTGGGATTGTCGGCACGACAGCTGAAAAAAATAAAAATGGAACGTTTTTAATATTTCTTATAACAAAAAAAAATTTTTGTAAACATTATTATGAAATAAGCGCAAAAATGAAAATTGTGTTAGTGTAAATCTATAGATTTCTTAAAATCATTGTTTATTAACTGTATTTTTTTTCCAAGGAATTAGTAATGTGTGTGCATGTGTGAGTGTGTGTTTATGCGTGACTTTCGTGCGCATATTATTTATATCTAAGTTTCAAGTATAATTTGCATTTTTTAAAGTTAATGTTAACTTACGTGGCGCAGGGTTTTCGTCGTTATCTGAAAAAATATTTTGTGAAACAAATTATAGAAAAAAAACATAGAGATTTGAAGTATAGTTGATATTAATTCAAAACGTAAGCTTTAATAAAATCAACCTTTACAGTGAAATTATAGTAATGTTTTAATCATTTTTGAATAATTCGGGTAATAATGTATAAAAACTTACCTGGATAATCAGGTGGGGTTACGTCTATAGAAAAATGTTTTGGGAAAGTAAGTCAACTGTATGGCTTATATATTCATGTGTAAAAACAGTTTTTAATTTTAAGCAACACAAGACTGAGTTTATTTATGTAATACGTTAACGAGTTTTGAACTTTAATAAAAACTTTAAAAACAAGAAAGTGTTTTGTTGTTTTACCTGGTCCAGCTGTAACAAAAAAAAGTATTTATTTAGTCGAGGTAATGCAGTAAAGGACAACAAACATCTCACACTTGTGAGTCTAACAAATACGCAACATATCTAAATTGTAATTGATTTTTATTTATCAAAACTTTTCTGGAATTATACACAGTATTTGACTTTGGCTGGAAATTAAAATTCTTTTTTTTTGCTATGTAAGCTAGCACGACCATCTACTTACGTTCAACACCTGCATCATCATCTTCTGAAATAAAAAATAGAGTCACTTTTAACAGTCGATATTTTCTGGTTTCATTTTAGTAGTATAGAACATTTTGAGTAACAATATTGTGTTTGATTCAACAGTTATTCAACAGTTATTTAAATTAATCATTTTTTTTTCATATCTTTTGCACGTATATAACTTGAATCAACTAAGAAAATGTTTAGTTTTCTTACCGTCATCCTTAGTAACAGCTGTAGATAATAATTTAAAAAAAAAATGTGTATTAGTTTGGAATATCTATGTTAAATTTTCTTTAGTTGAGTATATCAAATAATTACATTCAACGGACAAATATAATTTAACACAGGTTTTCTCGGTGATATAATTTTATATTCACTATTCTATAGCGGTGAAACTGTAGCCATTTAGTTTAAATAAATAAAGTACAAATTTCATTAGCAATGAATTATAGAATTATTGTATGTATCTCACCAAATCATGTAAATGTGTAAACGTACCGTCGCAGATCTGCTGGGAGGCGACCCTTTTGATTTTGTTGAGCAGCTCGTGGTTGTCTGCCCTGAGCACGTACTCTCCACTGCTGGCGATAAACTTGAGCTCTTGCACGTTCGACTTGCTGACACCGACAGCGATTATCGTCACACCCTGCTTCTTCAGGCGGTCCGCTGCCTGGACCGCTGGGCAAAAAAAGTTCACACAACAGTTAGATAAAATAAATACAGCTTGACTTAAAGCACCAGTTAGAGAAAGTAAATACAGTTTGACTTAAAGCACCGGTTAGAGAAAGTAAATACAGTTTGATTTAAAGCACCGGTTAGAGAAAGTAAATACAGTTTGACGTTAGAATAAAATATAGTTTGACGTACATCACCAGTTAGATATTTTTTTAAAAATCCAGTGTGACTTACAATACAACTTGGATTAAAAAAAAACATACACTATGACTTACAATACTAGTTAGATAAAATAAAACAGGAACAATTCAAATGGCTTGTAAAAGTTAAATCGGAAAGTGAATAAGTAAAAAACTTGCTAAATATTAAATGTGCCTTTTTCGCTGTTTATAAAAAAAATAGTTGTAAGATTTTTTTAGACCTGACGGGCATATGAGCAGATAAAGTACAGTTAATCTGGTTCTCAGATCCCGTTATCTACATGTACATTAACATCAGGTAGATATTTGAACATCAACTAATATGTACGGCCTACCAGTATATGTGTAAATGTCTGAAGCAACTAACTTGTTGGCATGCTGTCAGATTTGCCATCCGTGAGTACGAAAACAATTTTCCTTGCATTTGGTCGACCGCCGTTGGAGGGGTCGAATATTTTCTTGTTTGCAATGTAGTTCAGGGCCTTGTAAGTTTTAGTTCCGCCTTCAATGAATGGAGCCTTGAGAATAGCCTAAAATGCATGTCAGAGGCTTGGAGAGTTATGTGAATGGCCTGTAAGACATGGCCAAATGATGGAGAAAATGAGAATAGACTGAAATACGTTAACGAGATTTGGAGATTTATGAAAATTTACTACAATACATAACCGAGATTTGAAGATTTATGAGAATAGCCTTCAATACATGACCGAAAGATGGAGAATATGAGAATGGTCCACAAATTGTAGCCAAAATAAAAATAGTCTGTAAAATAGGAGAACTTTTATCGCCTTAAGAATAGTTTAGAAAGCCTTCAATATTATCAGCGACGTAAAACATAAAAAGTTGCCTAAATTTATTTTACATATAAGTGATGTCTCCGTGTTTTACCTGTGATATTTCAGCTTGGCTTGAGTAAGTATTCAAGCCAAACAAAAACCTGACTTCACTACTGAAGACAAGGGCAGCAATACGTGCACCGTTAGAGGCCCCGAACGTGAAAGGTTTGGTCAGGGCAGCCACAAACTCCAGCTGTTTCTTGAAGTTCTCCCTACCCACGCTGGAGGAGCCGTCCACTACAGCTACTATGTCGACAATACCTGGGCAAGGCTCTGGGGAGGTTGGATGTTCAATAGTCAAATGACTACACATTCAGTAGGAAACAACAGTGTTTTGAAATTTAATTTAAAAGCTGCATATTTACAAATATTTTTATATTTATGTAACTTCAAATAAATTTTGAATTATTGCTTGTGCTTAAAATAATAGCAATGGCAATTTCTAAAAATTAAATATACATACCAAGTATTACTGGCTTGTCTAAGGAAATAAGAAAAAAAAGGAATAGAATATATTTAAAAAGAAAAATAATTTAAGTATGAATGAGTACTTTCTGATTTAATAAAAATGTTCTAATTTTATAAAGCAGTATCTTTTAGAAAAGATAGCTTCAGATTTAGATATACGCGTGGCTACTAAAATGAAATATCTACTAGCCTGTGTCTTAAGACAAGTTTGCAAAAGTACTTACTGTCTTCTTCAGCAGGAACTGAAATTAAATAGTGTTTGTGTTAGATTAAGTACGCTTACGATCACCATTTCAAACGTTAATATAATATGTATTAGAACTTTAAAGTATTAAAGACTGGGAGCAAACCCACATCCCCTTCACAAATAAGCTTCATGTAAAGAGGTAAGACAACATCAACCCCCTCACAAATAAGCCTCATGTATTTAGGTAAGCCCACACCATCCCCTTCGGAAATAAGCGTCACGTATGGAGGTAACCCCACACCAACCCCCTCACGTAGAAAGGTAAGCCCACATCGCCCCCTCACTAATAAGCCTCACGTATAAAGGTACGCCCACACCGCCCCCTCACAAATAAGCCTCACATTTAAAGGTAAGCCCACACACCACCCCCTCAAAAATAAGCCTCACTTCGACAGGTCCGCTCCGCCAGTTGATTCCTGATGTTTCCCAGAGCCTCAAAGTTGGCCGCCGTGAACACGTCCCTGTCGCTACTGGCAACCTGTCGCAGTTCGCCGTACGACGCTTTCCCAATGGCGACCGTCAAAATTTTGATCCCACTTTTCTTTAAGCGGTTCGCTGCCTTGAGAGCTAAAAATAGACATGTGTACGTTATTTACATGAGCTCCCTCTACAGTAATCTTCAATTTAATACCAAATTATATCAAATTTTAAATCAAAATCATTGTAAATATGTGCTTTAATAATTTTCTTTTTTATTGCATGAAAAAAACGTTTTAATAACAAGCATTTATGTAATAATGCATTAAAAGGAGAAAATTTATGATTTTCTTTCAAAATATATTAATACACTACTATTTCAATAACCTTAATAAATCCGAGGTTCACTATATTATCTTGTTTATACCATTACTAATAACTTTTCATTATAGTAATTTAAATAGTTGTGTATTAGGACAGTAGTAGAAGGACAGCCTACTAATTTCAGAAAACTTTAATTAATTCGTAAAAAAATAATTGGTCATCCGATTAAGACAAATTTAATGTCATATTGCATTGTCTTCAAGTCTTTATTCACTTATCAACTTTGAAACGAATCGGCCATTAGAAGTGCTCGAAATTTCGCTCGCCCGTTTCGATTTATAACCACACAAAAGAGAGAATACGAGTTAAAAACGGCAATTTGCATGTGACAATCAAGATTTTGAGTGTATCAAGTCAGCTTTGTTGTTATGAAATTTATTGAGGTTCAATCCACGGGACGACCTATGTGCCCGAACACGTGACTTTCATGATAGCGAGCGTGTGCTCTAAAGCTAGACCACACCGTCCCATGTAAATGAACTAAAAAATGTAAACCAACATACTCAGGTCTCTCTTGGATGAGTTCCCATCACTGAGAAGAATAATGATCTTAGTCGCGTGACTTCTCCCACCCTCTGCCGCGCCGAACAGTGACGCCTTCGTCACGAAATTGAGGGCAAGGTGAGTCATCGTCACGTGCTTTCTGATGATTCTTCTTGTATTTAACAGCGCCTGGGGGACACATAATGGTTTAGTTCTAAGCTAAGAAATTCTAACCGTTGCCAAATATTTGAAACTAGTTGATACAAAATAGATCAGATAAAATGTTATTTTAGCTGCATTTTTGTAGTTTGAGGGGCGGGGGGGGGGGGGGGGTGCAAATCAAAACGTTGAGGGGGGGGGGTGCAAATCGAAAGTTTGAAGGGGGGATGCAAATCGAAAAGTTGAGGGGGGTGCAAATCAAAAGTTTGAGGGGGGGGGGGGGTGCAAATTGAAAATTTGCTCCTGAGGGGGGCGCCGAATTGAAAGTTTGTCCCCGGGCGCCGGGAAGGATCGCTACGCCTCTGAAATAGATCATATAAATTAATTAATCAGATAAATACTGTCGTGAACAAAATGATCATGTATTCATAAACTTTCTGGTTTTTTATCCTAATAACAATTCATGCTGAGTGTAGTGATAAAAAAAATTCATAAAAAAACGTTTTAATAAAAAGCTTTTATGTAATAATGCACTAAAAAGTAGAAAATAAATTATAGACTACTATTTAAATAACTAGAAAGAAAAGCGTGGATGTCTTCCTTAACTTTAATAAAGGTATCCAATAGATACTAAAGTGACCCACGCTTTTCTTTATAGTTATTTAAATAGTAGTCTATACTTTATTTTCTACTTTTTAGTGCATTATTACATAAAAGCTTGTTATTAAAACGTTTTTTTATGAATTTTTTTTCAGTACAGTGGTTGGATAGGCATGCCTACTAATTCGGTCCAAATTTTAATTAATTCATAAAAAAATAATTAGGCATCCAATTAAGTCAAATTTAATTTCAGATTGCATTGTCTTCATGTCTTGACCCACGTGCCAAATGTGAATCCCATCGGTCAAGTAGAAGAGTCCGAATTTTCGCTCCGGCGTTTCGATCTAGACAGACTGACGACAGACTGTCGACAGACAGAGGAAGTGAGTTAAATAAAAGCTTGTAAAAACGTACTGTATTGACCTACCTTGTTGATACGATAGGACCTAGTTTAGCGTTTTTTTCTTAGCGATATTAACGGTGTTGCACAATGGGACCTACCTTAGCAAGATTAGCGTTTTAGACGCTATGGGACATACCTTAGCGAGATTATCGTTGTTGACGTAACGTTTGAGGGAAAAGACCTTCCTGGGGATGTCGTTGAAAACCGTCGCCCCAAACTGAACCTTGTCGCGACCGATGTTAAATTTCCTGGTCAGATCCGCGACAAACCTCCGCATCAAAATAAACTGGTTTTTCTTTATACTAAAGGAACCGTCCATCAGGAACTCAATATCAGCAACAGCATTGCAGTTCACTTTCTCTGTTTAGTTGCAATATATATATATATATATATATATATATATATATATATATATATATATATATATATATATATATATATAAAAGATTCCTATTCTTGTTATTTAATATACATTGAGTTTATAAATGTTGCTGAATTGACTTACCTACAACAGCACCAGTGGACTGATTGATTATTATAACCAAAATTAGCACTTGGAGCGATAATCGAATCATTTTTAACATTTGATCAAACACCTGAAAGAAAATATTGTCATTTACACGTCTTAACAGGCTACTAGGTAATAACATGACTTAGAATAATTTGATATTTTTAATAACTAAGTAGGTCAGTTAACTAGAATCTCAAACTGAATGTGTTTAATAAATTTATGTTTCTTGCCAATGTTTTTAGTTCAAATACCAGAACCGAGACTTGAAACTTGCTCTAAATAAAATAGTTAACGACATATTGGCTGCTGTTTTGTTGAATATTAATTGTTGTGTTTGCTGTAAGGATTGTTTGAGAGTTCCAGCTACTAACATTAAAAGAGTACCTTCGCGTAAAATGTAAAGATGGCCCTTAACAACTAGAATATCAGTAAAACATAAAACAACACAGGGAAATGAATTCATTAGCATTTTTCTGATTTCGGTCTCATACGAGCAAACTAACATCGTGGATTTGAGATGGTTGTTTAAATCTTATTAAAATAACTGGGTAATCGCAAAGATTAAATCTTACCACAGTAACGGGGTAAGTAAAAATAAAGGTAAAGGCCCTTGTCGAACTTACGGGCCCATGGGGCAAGTGAAGTAGAGTTCACCTGTTCCTGTGATAAATGAAGGGATAGTTTTCTCAGCACTATGCCCAGCCGTTTTTCTCTCTCTAACGTTAATTAGGTACCCAACTTGCGGATTAGCATTCTTGCGCTCTACCGCTAGGCCACGCCGCCCCACAATAATGGCGTTTAAGTCAAGATTATATCTGACCACATTAATGGGGTAAGCGTTTAGTTTAAATCCTACCACATTAATGGGGTAAGCGTTTAGTTTAAATCCTACCACATTAATGGGGTAAGCGTCAAGTTTAAATTTTACCACATTAATTGGGTAAGCATTTAGTTTATATCTTACCACATTAATGGGGTAAGCGCTTACTTTATATCTTACCATAAAGAAGAAGCAAGCATCAAATGATAACAACAGTAACAACCTTCTCAACTTAAATAGAAAGCTGAACAATGTACTTTATTGCCTTGTTTTTGTTGATTTGTAATTAGCTAATTATTAGCTTAGACCACTGTATTTTGTTCATTTTGTTGGACTTTAGGAAGAGATTTAACGAATCGTGAAAGCAAACATTTACATATCTTTCAAGTCCGTCTCTCTGATGTGAAGCGTCTGTTGAGCACAGATGTTAGCACATTTTAAAGCTGACTAATGCCTCGAAAGTTGAGTTCGTGTAAACTGTTATAGATGCAATAGACCTCAAACAGGTGTTTGCATAATTTATTTTGTTAAACTGTGACGTAGTTGATCACCTTAATACGTAGCTTTTTGTAAAGCCGACCTGACAATTCGTTTTGGTTGTCTATCAGCTATGTATAAACATAACGTGTCTAAGTTTTCTAAGACGTTAAAACCGATTTTTCAATGTCTTTTGTACTTTAAAATATGCGGTCTCACAGTTGATTATAATGTTCAGATTTTTACAATATAGTTTAAATTAACACGATATTGCAACAGATTTAAACAACAAAGAGGAAATTTAAAAAATGGTCACATGTTGAATAAATCTAGCATTTGATGAACGTAAACATATTAATGATTCAGATGTTTACTACTTTTGTTTGACGTAAACATATTAATGCTTTAGATTTTATCGTTGAAGAATGCTTAGGCTTGAAGTAGGAAAGAGTGCATGTGTCTGTACGGTTGTCTTAATTACAGTAATTAATTTGTAAAGTGTAACCTAGATAGACAACGACCCTAAAATGTATGGCGTCTCACCAACGTGTGCTTTATTTTAAGACTTTTTCAGCTCAATACTGGGTAAATACTTGGTCAATAGAGAGTTAATACTGGGTAAGTAGTGGGTCAATATAGAGTTAATACTGGGTAAGTAGTGGGTCAATATAATTGTCAATCATAATCTTTTCCCGTTCGTTCCCCAGACACATGGGGCAGATCAGATGAAGTAGAGTTCATCTGTTTAATTGACCTCTGCATAAAGTGTGGTCAGCACTATTTCCCCTGACATGAGTTAGTTATAAATCAGAGCTGGTTGGACTCAGGAACGTTCTACGGATTCGAACTAAAAACTTACGGGTTATTTAGGCCACTCGTAATGGTGCTATACTTTGTCAGTATTGGATACACAGCTTGAGTGATTTTCGGGTGTAAAAATTCGATCTAGTTGCATATGTAGCCTAGTAAGTTCTAAATAACCTCATCACAACAACTAAATAATCATATCTATATGACCTTCATAAATCAAAGGACCTTCTAGAAGCCTCTAAATGACCTTCTTTCACCCACTAAAAGACCTTTTATCCTCCAACATTACTAAACGATACGCCAGCTGTTGTCTTCCTACTTATACAACAGACTGTGTCGGATTGTAAACAACTTACAACCACTTATCCCTCACTGAATTTGTGGACATATTTTTGTTGAGCGAGCACAAATTTTCATGTCACACTTTAAAATTTGTTTAAATATCACGCACGACAGGAGCGAGTGGTGTTTAATTGGGTTCTGTTCGCTGGGTCTAGCCACGTTGTGCTAATTAACCACTCTTTGACTGGCCCGGTACGTGTGCTGTAAACAAGCACACCTGTTTACTCTTAGTTTTATTTCATCAAACAAAACAAGAATGAAATACTTGCTAATAAAGAGCTAAACAATGTACTACAAAAGAGAAAATAGAACCGACTAGATTTGTTAAGTAAAAGAAAAGCATCGTTTGTGAAAATGCGTTAGACTTTTTATGAGCAACCAACGCTTTTACCGTTGACAGCACGTTTTAATTCGGTGCACTTAAAAAGCTTATTATTATAAAAGGTATTTATATTTTTTATGTTTTAATATTTAGGTGTATTTCAAACTAAAATATCAAATAGATATTAAAGTCTTTGAAATATTTTGTAAGCTAGCGTTGTCTTAAGCTAATCTCTAGATCACTCTCGGATGTTCCTTATGATAACCTTACATGACAATGAGATTGATCGTATATCATTGCAGATTAATTTTTGTTTATCTGAACAGCTTTGCGCCTTTCTAAGATTCATATATTTGAAAATTGTCATTGGCAATAGCGACACATATTTCTACCAGCCTTTATATATCCTGACATCTTGTGTCAAATGCAACGAATAATTTTGTTATAATCTGACCATCACAACAACATCATTTGCCGGTAAAGCTAACGTTCGTTTCTCATTTTAAGTCAACTATCATAACCTTTCAATTGATTGCTTTTTTTGTTAAAGGAATATAGTAGGCAAATGTTATAATAAAGAAAAACAACAATAGTATACGTTTTATGGGCATTTTTTGTTTAATATTTAAATTTAACTTTTATATCATTGTCTAACATTTGAATCAAAAAGATCCATCAGGCTATCATTCACAAAATTATTCCTCTTCATTTTTCTGGCGCTGAAGGCTACCATGTGAGGTAGCATATTTTAGGGGTAGATCTAGCCTTGTTTGGGAACTGGTTGAAAAAAAGGAAAGAATTACTGGGTTTTCAATTCAATAAATACGGTCAACACTTTAGTTTAAAGTCACCGAAAAGTCAGCGACAACTCAAGTCAACAATCTCGTAATTGAACAACCTCAACTGTAATATGTGTTTTCTGGCGTCCAAAGAGGTAGTGATTTGAATTAACAATGTCTACTTAGCCGAACTTCTCTCCTCTACCTCGTAAACACTGGCCTCTACACACAACATGTGTTCATCACCCCGAAGCACTGTCACTCATACGCATCTACAACTGTCAACAGCCTTCTCCACATTGATTATCCTTATACACCGCTTCACAACATACTTCACGTCACTCGATCAATTGCCTCCCTTTTTGAATTCGTTCACTCCGTGCATGATCAACACACACATTGTAAAACTTGGTAACAACACGGTGTAACAATAAAATAATCAAGGTACACACATAAAGTAATTTGTTGCACACACACACACCCCTGAAACATTTTACATCACCACACTCTCGACATATTTCAGCAGCATCACTACTATTTCAGCAGTCTCACTACTATTTTAGTAGTTTCACTACTATTTCACCACTCTCACTATTTCAGCAGTCTCACTACTATTTCAGCAGTCTCGCTACTATTTCATCTGTCTCACTACTATTTTAGTAGTCTCACTATTTCAGCAGTCTCACTACTATTTCAACAGTCTCACTACTATTTCAGCAGTCTCACTACTATTTCAACAGTCTCACTACTATTTCGGAAGTCTCACTACTATTTCAGCAGTCTCACTAACATTTCAGCAGTCTCACTAACATTTCAGCAGTCTCACTACTATTTCAGCAGTCTCACTACAATCTCAAGTCTCTTTACGCGGTCTCATTATTGCAGCAGTCTCACTACTATTTCAGCAGTCTCACTACTATTTCAGCAGTCTCACTATTTCAGCAGTCTCACTTCCTCCTGCAGTCTCACCTTGACAGGTGCGAGCCGCCACCTGCTCTTTGATCTTGTCCAGCACCTGGTAGCTGGTCACCTGGAAGACGTTCTGCTTCTCACTGGCCACCGCCTGCAACTCGGCGCTCTCGAACCTCCCGATGCCGATACTGATGACGTCAACGTCCATGTCTTTAAGGCTCTGGGCGGCCTCGGCGGCTAGAACAGAGATACATAAAGTGGGGTCTTTTCATAGTCAACCATTTGGTGGGTCAAACACGACAGTTTACTCTTGTTGGGGTTGTTAGACCACCCAGAAATGTAACACAGTCAACTTACTTTTAGTGGGGTTGTTAGACCGCCCGTCTGTGATAAGGATGACGATCTTCGCGGCGTCGTTCCGACCCCCGGAATAATCTTCAAACATCCCCTCCTCTTCAATCAGGCTCAAAGCTTTGTCCGTGTTTGTCGTGCTGTTCATGTAGGGCAGGGACAACAGGCTCTGTGGACGACATGACATCATGACAGACATGACATTTCAAATATCAGAGACAAAAGGCTATGTGCTTGACCGGGCATCATGACCGGCATGACATTTCGAAAAAAGGCTATGCGGATGACATGACATTTCAAATATCAAATAGTACACTGTATGGATATACATGATATTATGACATGTGACTTGACATTTCAAATGTCAGAGACAACAGTCTTTGTCATGGGTGGACATGAAAGCATGATATGTGACATGACATCGCTGCTGATGTAAAACACCCTCAGCGTTAGATTTAAGTTACCAAAAGACGTACTGTACAACATGACAGTACCCTTTCAAACATTTTATACAACCCATAGGCCTAAATATATAGAATACCATGAACTACACATAACAACCAAACATAAGAAACATTTAAACGTAAGTGGCCTTTCAACTAAATCGCAACACTTTGTTAATCAATATTTCTTAATATGAAATCATGGCATGTCAAATATTCACATTTTCCATCTAAGTTTCCATCCACCAAACTACCACGTTTTCCCGCAAACCTCCGTACCTCGGCGACAGACTTCTGGTTTAAATTGTCTTTGAGGTCAAACATTTTTGAAGCCACGTAGCTGAAGAGAACGGCACCGAAACACGTGTCTTTGGCGCCAATCTGGAAACTGCTGGCCAGCTCAGCAGCAAACCTGAGCTGCTTGTCGTAGTTGACGCGTCCAATGCTGCCAGAGGAGTCGAGACAGAAGATGATGTCAGCCTTCACACGGCAGGGCTTGGGGGCTGTAGGGGTGGGGGAGCAGGGCGGATAAATTGGGTTAATCACATTCAACAATTACACACGGATGGAAGTTAAACTGAATAAGAAAGTCTGTAAATAGAATAAAACAATTTAAGTCTTATGTTAAAAAATTCCTATAATTCAAATCGAAAGCATCTAAAAAAGATTAAATTTTAAAATTACATATTATATTAGACATTGAATCAACTGAAGTAAACAAATTTAAAGAACTGTTTATTTACTGTGTAAAAATACTACAATTTAAATTAAAATTATAGGCCTACATGAAAGATTAAATCTTTAAATTACGTAGTAGAATCTACTGAAGTAAACAAATGTAAATATATGTTTATCTGCTGTGTAAAACAACTTACGTGGTGTGGGTAAAGCCTCTGAAAACAAAAAATATAATGTGTGAAGTCACGTTTTGTATTTTTACGAAAGAAACTAAGGCTAGCGGATTCTGAATATGAATTTAAAAGAACCAATTGTTTTTGTTTTTGGAAGGTAAGTTAAAGAATTTTCTTGTCGTGAAGTATGCTTTCTAGAAAAAAAAGTTTTGTTTACTGGGGCTAATGTGTTATATTTTAAAGCAGTATGATGGCAACATATGTCAAAAGCCTGCGGTATAAATTAAGTGTATCGTTAGCTGACCACTGTGGAAGGCTTACCATTAGTATTGCCGCCTGTAGTCTCTTGTTCGTCAACTGAAACAGGAAAAACAAAATTTTAAAATCTTTCAAATAAATGCATATTCTCTTGTATTTAAGACTCTAAGTTCGTAGAAATTAACCGTCAAGAATTTTTCAACATTTGATTTTCTAGAAGTTGATTTCTTTGTTAAAAAACAATTTAAAACTATATGAGTTTTCATATTTCGTTTAAAATACATTATTTTACATCAGAAACAAAAGCTAATTATAAAAAGCAAACACTAAGATGATTATGAAATTTATGATTTGCATACCTGGTCCGACTGGAATGAGATATGAAAATAATAAAAACAGGGATCAGTATTTGTTTTACATGTGGTATATATATATATATATATATATATATATATATATATATATATATATATATATATATATATATATATATATATATATATATATATATATATATATATATATTATTTAAATTAAAAGATTGAACTAAAAAATGTCTATAAGTTAGCATAGATTATAATCTCTGTAATTACATAAACGTAAGCCTAAATTAGATGTTTCAAGTTTTCTTACCCTCAGTCTCCGTATTACCTGGAAATATAATGTTACTTTTGTTTTTATACAGTTATTGTAAAGTAAACGGTAGCGTTAGCAGAAAGGCCTACATAAGCCGCTAACCGATCACAGTTGATACTTTATTAGATATTTTTAGAACAACATCATTTCTGGTATAGTTAAATGTTTCTGAACTGTAATTTTCGATACATAAGCTAAAGACAAATATTCACGTATTACATTTTTTTTTAATTCACTTAGAGTAAGATTAGAAAAACACACTTACCTCCAATAGAATTTACAGCTGAAATATAAAATGTATCGTTTTAAATCGTACTGATGCATGGTAAACAAAAACAATCATATTGTTAATGCAGTACATTACGCAGTACATATATATACATACACATACATATATATATATATATATATATATATATATATATATATATATATATATAGTGTGTGTGTATGTATGTGTGTATGTGCCAGCTCATATTTGGTGTTTATTGAACCATTAGAAAACGACACTTACCGCTGCAAATTTTTTTAGACAACATGGGGGTGATCTTCTTGACAGTGTCCATGTCCTCCACCATGAGAGCGTCCTCTGGCGTGCTGGCGATAAACTTGAGCTCTTGCTCGTTGGCGTTAGAGAATCCCACAGTCAGCACTTTAACTCCGTCGGCCTTTAGGCGGTCTGCAAACCTCACGGCTTTGAAAGGGTTAAACAAAAATGTATTTTACCGAATGTTTATAATAGAATGATATTTGCTTTGTAGAATATTGATTACATATCAGAATCTACAGAACCTAACCTTAAAAGCTATATCATTCTATTTTCAAAAACAAAAACTACTTTTCTGGTAGTAGTAATAAAATAAACAAATGCAATAAAATGCACGTGACTTAACGAATCTTATTACTAATTAAATTATTTTTTTCGGGCTATCATTTATGATATAAAATTTAGTTAAAAAACCGGTAATTGAAAAACATATACTTTTCAATTAAATACTAAGAATATTACAAATTCTTCGAATCTACACAACTACAGATGACACTTATCTCTAATATATGTTCCTAACTTACAGAGCCCCATATTTATATCTCGTTTGGCTGCAACTACCCAGCAAGAAATGATATTCTATGGCTTTAAATTTTCCCAGATATAAATGTGTGTAAGGCCCTAATTCACAGACCAACATATGTCGAATGGCCCTAGCGTACATAACAAACAAATGACGTTGGCCATCACACACCCAGTAATTCAAGTGGCTCTAATCACCTATGGCATATAGCCCTAACTTACTCAGCAACAGATGTTATTTGGCCATAACAAAGAAATTTCTAATTTTTTTCTAACTTACCGAGCTGCATATTGTCCGATTTAGACCCAGACACCAGGACAAAAACGTGTTTAGAACCAATTCGAGAACCTTGCGCAGGTGTAAAGATCTTTCTTAAGATGGGATAGTTCAAAGCCTGGTAGGTAACCTTGGGACCTTGGAGGTATGGTGAGCTCAAGATGGCCTGAGGTCATACATAAGGTGTTAACATTGTTATCTTTTGTCAATGTTAGGCTGTTTAATGTCAACTTACACTCAATTATCACGCTTCGTTATTTGACTTATATATTTGACTTATACTATTTGGTGGCACAAACTGGACTAGTAGTTCATCTAAATAGAACATCGCCCCCACCCCACCCCTCCACACGTCTGTTTACCATCCACCATACCCTAAACAGAGACGGTGAGATGCAAAGGTCTAGGAAGTTAAACCCTGGATGCATATGAAGGACAATGCTGACATTGCATGATAGCTCTAGTTAAGATAGAGTTAAGCAAGACATTACCCGCCTCTACACTACAGTTACCCATTGGCTGTCCCATCCCCGCAATTACCCACAGATTAATTACCAACATGTAAATCATCTCCCATTACGTTACACCCTCCCGTTAGTAATCAATTCAACCATTTAGATAAAATAATTCAGATGCGAAAAGATTGAGCATACATTGGGGATAGTAATAGGTTAGTATGACCTTTGGGTGGCAGTACGGGCGAGGGACAGCTTAAGGGTAAGGGTGTAGGTAAGTGTGAGGGACAGCTTAAGGGTAAGGGTAAAAACTATAATATCCTGTTTACCCTTGAGATCTCCGTCATGCTGGAATACGTGTTAAAGTCTAGAACTTTCTGCACCACGTTGGTGTACAACACGATGTGGAACCGCGCCTTGTCCGGCCCCAGGGTCAAGGGCGCGATCAGGTCTGAGACCAGCTGGAGCTCCTTCTTGTACAGGTTGATGCCCACGTCCCTGGAGGAGTCGATGGCGATGACGATGTCGGCAAACGTGTTGCACGGCTCTGGGCAGCGATGTGGGGGTTAAATAAAAGTTAAATAATATGCTGAACATCTTAGGAACATTGTGGTTTTATTTTCATTGTATGTCGTGTTGTAACCATTTTCATAGATTACCACGATTTTATCACACTTTATACAAGATTATACAGTGATTAACTTCCAATAATACGCTTTAAGTTTTATATATTTAAAAAATACATAGATATTATCTTAGTAAGAGTATAAAAGATGCACAGCTATAAGTATTTGTACTCACTTAATACAGCCACCGGTCCTTTGAAATAAAATTAGAAGATAAAATGTATGTGTTAAAATGTATACCTAAGTCCGAGTAGTAGAAAGAGTTATTTTGTTTTACTTGTTATGAAGCTATCTCTTATGAAATAAACTATTCTAATATAAGCTGATAACATCTAAGTATCATCCTTATAAGTAGTAAAACATACACTTACCGTCATTCTCTTCGTAAAACGGATTGACTGTAGATGATAAAATTAATATAACAGGTACAGAAATATGTAAAACTATTTGTATAATGAAAATTGCAAGCGGGAGAAACTCGGTTGCTGACTGATGTGTGTACGTGGGATACGTGTATTTGTAATAGAAGATGCGAACACACATAAATGGCAGAAAGAGAGCAATAATGCCAACATACAGCATAACCACAAGACGCCTACCTTTACAAGTCCGTAGAGCGACTTGGCTTCTTATGTTCTTGAGATCATCAAAAGTGGGCACAGCGAAGATGTCCTGTGGACTGGCAACAAAAGCACTGAGTTCGTCGTATGCCGGCTTGCCTATGGCTACCACCAACAGGGTGATGCCGTTCTTCTTCAACAGCGCTATTGAGTTGGAAGCTGTTTCAGAGAGAGATCGAGTCGGTATTAATATACTTAATGGGCTAAGTTAGGGTTAAAGAGGGTTGTTGTTTGAGCTCCTAATTCTCACAAAAATTATGCTTTACAAGACAAGTTTATAATGCATTGTGGGTAATTAAATGGCTGTCTTTAGTAATGTATGATGCATCCGGATTGTTTTTGAAACTCAATTCAAATAAAATTAAAGTGTTTACGAGCTATAAAAAGTGTTGTCGATGAATACATAATAAATATACAGCGAAATTGATGTGTGCATATTTTAGCTACTACGACGTGTTCAGAGGGCAGAGTAGTCGACTTCTAGCCCGAAAGTATCGGGTTCGGATCTCGTAGTTTGTTCCTGAGTTTATCCAGCTCTGTAGCGTACTTGACTCGGGTTAGAAAAATAGGTCGGCTTGGCATAATGCTGAACCCCACTATAGCTTCAGTTGTCGAAAACACTGAAACAGATTAACTCTACTTCGCCTGCCATATGGAACACCAGTTTCGAAAAAAATATTCAGACTATCCATTTCCACCTACTTAAGGCGAGGGTGACAGCCCTTGCATACAGTAATGAAGTTCAACAATTCCTAGTTTCCAGTCCGGTTATTTTAAGTAAATTAACATGGTTGAATTTTAAATTAACTTTTTAAATTTAAAATCCACCGAACACAATATATTAGCGGTCTTACTCTGTATAGCCCTAAAGGACGTAGTGGCTGCTACAAGAATGGCAATTTTGGCAGCGTACTTCCGACTTCCAGGGCCGACAACTCCAATCGAGTAAATCGTATTGAGAGCCAAGTGGGGAAATGTGGCCACGTTCGCCGATACTCTGGTGACACTCAGCAAAGCCTGAAAGTTTGAGATCATTCCAGTTAAAATATCTTATACGAGCCGACCCGCGGCGTATCATACGCCGCTATTTAGTTGTTTTATTTTCTGCTTTTCAGTAATTCATAATTTGTGAATTCGACAGTACCAATGCTGCCACTGAAAATATTTGCTTTAAAATACTATCAGTCGGTTGTTAAGGACGATAACCCCCCCCCCACCCTCATTTCCCCAACCACTACCCTACCCCCCCCCCCCCGTGAAAGCAGCCTCCTCTTAATTACCTCCCCTAAGTTTAAAATAGTTTCAAACTAAATTATCTGCCACTAATAGGAGTCACTAAACCCGGCTCTACGATTGTAAACATTTAGCGTGAACCACAGCTTACCAGACCATGTGGGGGTGGGGGAGGTTGATTTATGCCTAGTGAAGAAGAGAGGGGACTGCAAGGCGCGCTTACAACTTGTTTTCTAGCGTCTCCCAGAAGAGAATTATTATATATAGATAAATATTTTCAGACTTGGTTGTTACCTTTAATGTGTACGTATGGCTGTCTATGACTCTACGTGTCTATATTTGAGTTTTTCAGCATATCTGTGTGTGTTTTTGCGAATGCGTTTGTGTGTAGGCGTGTGTAGGCTTAATGATTAGTTAATAAATGAATTATATGTTCCCACCTCTGCAAGCTGCTCGTTAGCGTTGAACTTGTTCAGGTAGAACTGGATCCGCGGCACGTTGTTGTAGACAACAGCACTGACCAGCGCGTCTGTTGGTCCAACAGCCATTGACTTGGTCAGGTCTGAGGCGAACTTCCGCAGCAGGTCAAACTGGCTGTTGGTGATGTTGAAGGAGCCGTCTAGCAGCAGGACAATGTCCGACACGGCCTTGCATCGTGTTTGTCCTGGTTGTATGTCGAAGGTTCAGATCATTACAAGCTATTTACAAAAAATAGATCGAATCTGGGTTCAAGTCAGTAGAACGTCCCTGAGTCAAGCTAGCGCAGATGGATACTTAAATCACGTTAGTGAAGGTAAAGGCGGCTCAGCATAGTGCTGACCACATCATTTTTTTCGTATGACGAGGTTGGGGACGGCGTAGTCTAGCGGGAGAGAGGTAGACTACTAACACGTGAGTTTCGATTCCGAACGTGTTTGCGTTTGCGTTTGTGTTTGCCTTTGTTTTTGTGTTTGTGTTTGCTTTTGTATTTGAGTTTGTGTTTGTGTTTGCGTTGTGTTTTTGTTTGCATATGCGTTTGTCTTTTCATTTTTGTTTAAGATTATGTTTGTGTGTTTTTTTTTTGTTTGCGGTTATTTTTGCGTTTATGTTTGTGTTTGCGTTTTTGTTTGCGTTTGCGTTTTTGTTTGCGTTCACATGCGTTTGGCGTTTGTGTTTGTGTTTAAGTTTTCGTTAGCTTCTGGGTTTGGTTTTGTGTTTTTGTGTGTGTTTGCGTTTATGTTTACATTTGTTTTATGTTTGTGTTTTTGTTTGGGTTTATGTTTGTGTTTTGCTTTTGGTTTGTTGAGGTTAGGGTTAATTCGAAAAGTAATATATTTCCTTAACCCGACAAATATTAAAACTTTGTTTTTGTTAGCCAATTGGTATACGTTGACATTTTTATGTGCCTTTATGACCAATTATTGACCACATCATAGCTATTTGACCTTATTTACCTATTTGAAAATATGATGATTATTTTTAGCTGGCACGGTAAGAGTTAAAAAAAAAGAAAGTGTGGGAGTTAAATATGTTAGTGTGAAACTTTAAACCTCAAGACATGTCTAGCACGTTACGTTCAAGCGCGCAACTTTTAAATATTAACTTTTAATAACAATGTTTTTAAATATATTAAAGGAAAAAGTATATTACATTGACATTTGAACGAAAATTTGGCCACCCGATTAGTGATTGAAAATAAAACTCAGAGGGTATAAAATAGGGGTGGTGCTGGTAAAAAGGGTATGGATGATAAATCGTATGAGGCAATCGGGAAGTGGGCATGAAGAGTCATTCGGAGGCGAGGGTGAAGGGCATGGATAAAAATCGTATGAGGTGAGATGGGAGGGGGGGGGGCATGGAAGGTAAATCCCATGAGGTGAGGGGGTGGCATAAATAATAAATCTTATCAGGCGAAGGGTTAGGGCATGGATAGTAAATTATATAAGGTGAAGGGGAAGGGCATTGGTAGTAAATCGTAAGAGGCGTGGGGGGGGGCGGGATAGTATAAAATTATATCGTATAGGGTGTCTATGAGACACAACTGGTACACGTGTGATGTGTGCAGAATGTCCACACAAAAGTTCTTCTACGTTCGTAATTACAATGTTGTCTTTTTTTTTATTTTGGAAGGGCATTTCCTCAGACATAATTAAGTATAAAGTGTTAACCTATTGTACGCAGTATTGCCGTTGACTCTTATTTTAGTCTGCCTTTTAGTGTCTTTGCTTCAATAGCCTCTGGCTATTCTAGCATCATTTGCTTGAGATGTGGGCGTTCTCTTATGTTCTTTTTTTTAGTTATTAAATTTCATCTATGTATTACATATATATATATATATATATATATATATATATATATATATATATATATATATATATATATATATAACTATTGTTATATATTATTATGTAAAAATCTGACTAAAAAACTAACCTTGCACGATTCCACTCAAAAGACAAAGCACCGAAATACTTGATAGTAAGCGAGACATTCCCATAGGTAAAAGTCCCTGGATTAAAAAAAAAATGTGTTGTAACTGGTAAATAGTTGGTGTTTCTATTTTAGTTGTATGTGTGTGTAATAGGTGTGTGTTATTGGTAGGCCAACTTGAAATATTTCAAAAAGTTAATGTTCAAAGCTTAGAACTATTTTTTTTTCAGAAACTTAGTATGTTTTAATAAGATTAAGTACTAAACATAGATCTGGAAATTGTTTTTAAACTTAAAATATTAGAATAAGATAATATAAAAACCAAAAACTAAAAACATATTCTAACATAAGAACAAAATGATGGAGAAAAAAAACGTCCGGTATTTGAGAAAGAATTCTCAAAAAAAAAGAAAACAAAACTCCACGTACCTCTAAGATTTTCTTGCTGTAAAACAAATGTACCCAAAAAGTGTCCTATATATACAGTTCCTGTCTAAACTTTACACAATGATCGAGAGGTTTAGGGTAATTTTAGTTAATTCAAAATTTTTGGGGTAATTACATTTCGCGTTTTAGTTACAAATTTTTGGGGTAATTACATTTCGCGTTTTCGTTTAAAGCTTTTCAAGGCTTGACTGATCTGAGTTTTATCCTAACCATCTCAAGCGTGAGTTGACTTTAGAGAGGCCAGCGAACGACGAGAATTAAACAAATTCGGTGCCACAGTTGGGTCTGGTTTAACATAAATTACAACGGGACGGTGTGGATAATTTTTTTTTTATGTTAAGAGGTAGTTTTAGCATAGATTACTTAGTTAAATTTGTTTTAGTAGGTTAGGGGGATAGAGTGATGTGGACATTAGTGTTGGTTGTACGATTCAATTGGTAAAACTGAAAAACGTACGTGGCTAATGACTGGAGATAATTGCGGGTAGAGGGAAGGGGCGGACATGACATGATTTTGTAAAAGAGGAAAATGGCAATGTAATAGTTACACTGATTTAGAGAATCAGTGGGACAGTTTATTAGTTTACATTTTGACGCCGATTACTCGCTTGGGTATGGGGGTGGGATGAATATAAGGGTATTTACAAGGCTGTTCCCGACTCTCTTTCTCTTGCTCTCTTTCTTTTTCTCTCTCTCTCTCTCTCTCTCTCTTTCTCTCTCTCTCTCTATTTTTTTTTCTCTGAGTTACACGAATATATAAAAGTTGGGTTTAGTTCGCTATGCTGAATAACTCCTAGTACAAGGGGTCGATGTGGTTGGGCTTCTCATCTTCATAGTTGCTAGACCGAAAGTCCGGAGTTCGAACCTCCAATATATCTAGGGATAGTAACTCAACTAGATGATCTCAAAAAATCTCAAAAAATCAAAAAGACTACTGTCTTGTACTTTGTTCTCTGATGGACAAAGGCTACTCAAGCTAATTCAGATAGAAAAACAGGCTAAACTCGGAGTCTATGGGTCATATAATACACATAATAACTGTGTTACAGGAGATCCCTTACAATATTACAACTAAGAAGGAAGGAGAAGTAAAGAAGAAGTTAGCACCCTAAAGCGTTGAACCCAAATAACGTCTCTACCGTGAGACCTAACTGTGGCTAGTTCTGGTAGAGGTTTGGACAGTAGCGTAGCGAGGGGGGGGGGGGGCGGGGGGGACATATGTCCCCGGGCGCCGAGCTTAGGGGGAAAAATAAATTGAAAGGTTGAGGGGGGTGCAAATTGAAAGTTTGCAAATCGAAATCTCGAGGGGGGTGCAAATCGAAAAGTTTGTCCCCGGGCGCCGGGAAGGGTCGCTACGCCTCTGGGTTTGGAAAACCTTCAAGACAAACACTGCCTGAACTACTACAACTTAAGCAGCTACCTGACATCCAAGTTGTCTCCCTGCTCACAACATCTAGACTAGCTGTATAAGATCTGCCTATTGCAACAGGCGACCAATTACTAACCATTTCAAGGGCAATACATTGAGGATCACTGGCCATAGTTGGTTGCATAATTAAGAAGTTCTGAGGCGAATAAATGCAGAATTCTTTAAAGATTAGCATTAATGCACTGAAACCTGTATAGAATTTAAATTGACTTTCGAGAAATACATACTTCAGCGCATTTTACAGAAATGTTTCATTATATTATAATACGTGAACAATAAGGGCAATTTGATGTATGCATTAGAAAGCATATTTGTTGTACATCTGTTTAAAATCCCACATTACTAGCCTGTTGCTGTAGCTTGATTTGAATGCATCCACGTAAACAACTAATCGACAACAAATAGGTTTCAGAATAAACCGCATATAACAGAAAACATACACACAGTAACATTATGAAGTATGAACATTGGAAAACAACACACATGTGTGTACAACATAAATCTTTATAAAACAATCATTAAATACAAAGTATATATTCTAAATATTGTTGTTCCCATCATGCATACAAGATATATTTTCATTGGAAACCAACTCAAAATACTGAAAATCTTAAAGTATTCTAGGGATTTTTGCCATGGAAATGTATCGCTTACTGTCAAGTTGATATGTGTACCAGGGGCGGAACTACAGTGCCGCCAGACCCCGCAATGCGGGGGGGGGGGGGGGGCACGCCATTTAGGGGCCCAGAGCCGACCATAATAAATTTTTTCTAGTTAAAAAAAAAAGTAAATTTTCTTTCATTTTTGACTTCATGGTTGTTTTTAAAAAAAAAAAAAAGTTACCGTAGCTACGGTTGGATTATATTTATTCTATAAACACCACCCCACGCTCTTGTATATTCTTTTTCCCTTTGTTTTTAAACCACTGTGAAAGCCGAGTCTTTCTCCTACAATTAAACTTATCAAAGATAAGCAAATGTTCTAACCACTTCCATGACTTATTTCCTTTTTTTTAAATAGTGAAATAGGGGTGATCATAAGCTCCTTTTAATAGATTTGTACTAAACAAATTAAAAAGCAATTACTTCTCTTAATTATTTTTTTATAAGCGTAATTACTAAAGAATGACACTGTATAAAAAAGAAATGTATTAAATCAATAATATTTAAAAAATTAATAATATAAATACAAAAAAACAAAACTAAACATAACACGAGACACCATAATTATACAAAGCTTTCATGTATTATATTATTTTGACCGACTTGTATTCTGAAGGCTTATATTAAAAACTAATTAAAACTGATTTTCACAAAACTTACATGCACAAACACACATGACATAATGTTGAAATTTTTTTAATAGATGTGTTTCAAATCCCGAACAGGCCAGAAATGAGAATCCTAGGTTCGTATTTTGTGATTGTATATATATATATATATATATATATATATATATATATATATATATATATATATATATATATATATATATATATATATATATATGTTGGCTGGTACCAAATTGTTGATTCTTAAGTAAGCATGTTGGCTTGTACTATATTGTTTATTTTTAAGTGAAATGGTAACTTGGGTGCTTATTAAAGGGGCTAAGGTGACTAGGACTAGTTACAGAAACCCAAGGGGTTAATCTAAGATATTGGGGATGAGCAGGCCGGGGAAATCTAAAATTTAATTAAAGGTTATCGGCTCACTCTGGTCGTTAAGGGCTGCGAGCTCTATGCAGGTGCATGAGTGGCACGTAATGCTGGGAAGACACCCGCGGTGATTTATGTCTAAAGTTGAGTTCGGGCATGCCGCTGGACGTCCCGGTAGAATCATTACTCATGATCTCTGTTGTGGTCAGTTGTCAGGTGTGAAACGCGGCGGGAGTACCGCGTGGTCGTGCGTTAGCTCGAGCGGTGTATGACACGATCGTTAGCCCTGAGACAACGTGAAGATCTATAGCGGTCAGTTATCGGAGGTGCAACGCATGGGTGCATAGTGACCGGTGTTATCTCGAACGTCGAGAGATGGGACGGGGCCCAACTCGGGTTCTATAGCTCTAGGGAGATGATAAGGGGGGTGAGACTAGCCTATATATGAGGAAGGGCGACTATGTTGAGGTCTCTCTCTCTCCTACACACATAGCTGAGGCTAGACACGATGGTCTAGGCCTCGGATGGTGGCAGCCTTTAGGGCTGGCCACTAAGGCTGGATTATTGTCCCAGCCGATGTTTTGTTGCTGTACATATGTGCTTCGTTCCAGATATTTACATATGTGACCTATGTTTATACATGTGGCCAATGTTGTACCAGTGGCCAAACGTCTGCCGTATAGATATGTTCTTCGTTCCAGTGGCCATTATCTTTGTGGCCCAATGTTTGTACCAGTGGCTCAATGTTTATTTCAGTGGCTGGAACTTCCTGCCGTTTGATTGTCGAGCTAGATTGTTGTGAGTACTGATGAGTATTCATAGATGAACTTTAACCGGGTTTGATTAGTGGAATCAGAATTAGTGATGATAACATTTACCCGTGTGATTCTGGGATTACATAACAGTGCAAGTAGTAAAGTTAGAACTAGAGACGATGTCTTTTACGTTTTTGATTTTGAGATTACATAGCAGTACAAGTGAAATTAGGACTAGAAAGAATAACTTTGACAAGTGTGATTCTGAGATTACATAAGCAGTGCAAGTATTTAAGTTAAGACTAGAGGATATGACATGTGTGAATTCTGAGTTGTGTAAATGTAGATTTGCTATTCACACTTATATATGTGTTTTCTATGAATTAATGTCAGTTACCACGGTGACTAATTCTGCATTGAAATGTAAGTTTGATTATTATATTTGTCTTTTTGACTTGTATTAGAAATTCAAGTGATGTTTTCTTGAATATGAAAGACTGGCCAGGTCTTATTTGTATTGTGTCTCTTGCTTTTAACATATAAGCCTTGTGACGTCAAATGAAGATAAATAAATGCATATTATGTGTGTTTACTATGTTTTATTTTTAGTTTAATATTGGTGTTGTATAGATTTTAATTAGTTTTGCTCAGGTCTTATTAGACCCCTTTGTCACCACGCAAAGGAGCACGGATGAGTGAATAAGATCACCTCTTCGGTTTAAACCCCCCTAACATTTGGTGTCAGAAGTAAGATATAAGATATCTATTTCTCGACGAACCCCTAACATTTGGTAGCAACGAGTGGGATCCGTGCTTGAGCAAACTAAATTTAGATTTTTAAAAAAAATTGGTTTTAAATATGTTGAGTATATAATGGTTTACCTCAGCATTATATTTTTTTATGTTATTGCCTTTTTTATTTGCATTGTTAACTTTTTTCGACGTATAGAGTACGTTTTATTTACAGTAATGAACTTTATTATGTGATTGCTTTTACTTTTGTGTGTTTCTAATGAACACATTGTGCTAATGTGACACTTTTATTTAGCACTGACGGAACCATTTTTAGACCATTTTTAAAAGAAGAATTTGGGTAGCCTGTTGACATGCAACCTTTGTAAGTTTTAATGGTGTTGAACGTATTATTGGCAACTATGGTATTCGTTGAATAGTAATTATTGTAGATGAAACATGCTGTTGCGTAATTTTATGACTGGGAAGACTTGG